TCATGGAATATCTTTTTCCATCCCTTCACTTGCAGCCTGCATGTGGCATTACATCTAGTGTGTCTCTTATAGTCAGCATATAGAGGAGTCTTGTTTGTTGTTTTAAATCCATCCAGTTACTACTGTATGTCTTTTGACTGGAGCATTTAGTTCATTTACATTTTAAAGTAATTACTGATAGGTATGGGCTTGTTGTCATTTAAATTGTTTTCTGGCTGTTTTTGTATTTCTTCTCGGTTCCTTTCTTCTCTTACTCTCTTCCTTTGTTCTTTGATAAATTTCTTTGGTGCTGGATTCCTTTCTTTTTCTCATTTGTGTATTTACTACAGATTTTTGCTTTGCGGTTAAGATGAGGCTTACAATGTAACAACTTATATCTGTTATAGTCTGTTTTAAATTGAAAGCAGCATAAGTTTGATTGCATTCTAACCCCCAATATTTTATGTTTTTGATGTCCATTTTATATATTTTTACCTTGTGTATCCCTTAACTAATTATTGTAACCATAACTTTTTTTTACTTTTGTCTTTTAACTTTCATACTAACTTTATAATGATTAATACACTACTTTATATTTACATTTCCAGTGAGATTTATTCTTTCATATGTTTTCTTGTTACTAATTGGTACCCTTTCTTTTCCATAATTTTTACTTTTTGCATAAAGTTGTGTGTTCTCTGAACCCCAGGAATGGAAAATTCACTGAGGTTTAGGAGGTTTCCCTTACAAGAATTGCAGTTTAGCACATGTGCCTCCATCTACCTCCCCTGAGCCCCCATCCACAGCCTTCAGACCACATGGGGTTCCACCCAGAAAAGGACTGTTGGGTTGAAATCAATTAAGGTTGATAACTTATAAGTTCTGAACTTATCATTCATACATTCAGATACCTGCTTTCAATCAGTGTTGCCTGAATGCCCAGTTCCAGGCACAGCGAGGCTGCAGAGAGCGGCAGATGGGTTGTGTGGTCCAGGGGAGGTAAGAGTGGGACAGGGCCGAAAGCCTGAAGAGGTGGACTCTAAGGAGGAGAGCTGCCTTCAGAGAGCTTTGCTGATTGGGGAATCATACTTTTGCCAGGTCTCCTGACGGTAAGGTCAAGACTGAGAGAGGTGCAGTGCTCTGAGGTCACCACCAGGGGTCAGGCGCGCCTGCTCTACTTTTCAGTGTCTTTCTCATTTCTTTTGGCTATTATTCCATCGGTCCACTGCCCCTCCTCAGCAGCATCTTTCTCTCACTTCTCTCAGCCCATTACTCTATCCTTTAGGTCATCCCATCCAGGCACCCACGCAGGATCAGGCAGCCTCCCAGTTAGACAACCTGACATTTCTCCTGACTCTTAGGGAATCCCACAGCTTCTCTCACACCCCTAACTCCATGAATGAATGACTGGTGAGCAGAAAGTGCCTCCTACTATCTCACCTCTTCTCCTGCTGCCATTCAGCTCAAGTTCTCTGCTTTTGTCTTCAGGCAAAATGAGAGTGGTTTATAGGTTCACTTCTAACAGGTTTTCTTAATGTGTGTCAACAAAGCTCTTCTAGGAGCCCAAGCCCCTAGTGTGGCCCCCAGAATCTAGCCCCAAGAGTTCTCCCCCCTTTGATGGTAATGTTCACACCTCACCCAGGATAGCATGCTATCCATGGAGCCTTGATCCCTTGAACCTGATCTCCTTCTTTTTCTATCTGGCTCATCTCAGACCCTGCTTCCTCAGGTCCCACCTGTCATACACCATCTATGCTCCCAACTTCTTTCCTCCCCATAAATGAGTTCCACGCTTTAGAGGTTCCGCTCTTCTAAATGATTCCTTACTGTCTTGACCCTGTCCTTACACTCCTTCCTCCAGGAAACCTTCCCTCTGCCTCATCTAGGCTCTAGAGACACATATAAGAGAATGCTGGCTCTGCCAGCTACCAGATATGCTACCTTAACTTTTTTAATTCTTAGTTTCTCCATCTGTAAAATGGGGCAGTGATCCATTGCTCTCAGATATGCTGTGAGGCCTCTGTGAGATGATGAATTTGGAAGTGCTTAGCACAGTGCCTCTGCCTAGGAGGTGCTCTGGGAGAATCCCTTGTGCTTTCCTCCAGGTACAGCTGCCACCCCTGATGCCTCCCAGCCCTGGCCTGCTGATGGGAACCAGCCCTTGTCTCTGCACAGTGGCTGCTTCTGCTTCCCCCACTACCCCTGGGCAGAACCCTGGCCCATGCAGAGGGGAAGAGCCAGGGGTTGCAGGGGCACAACCATCATGCTGAGGAAACTGGGGAAGATGTGGGACTTTGTGGGAACCTCAGCCCAGAACTCTATCTGCAGGGCTGTATCCTCACCCTGCCATGCCTGAGACCTGGAGTGGCCTGTACTCTCCTCACTAGGATAACTAGGAGCTCCTTCTGGCCTGGGGGTGCAAAAGGCTCCCACAGAGTCCCTGAGGTTTTGAGAGGACCAGAAGGCTGGTGGGACGTGGAGGAGGAGACGCAGGGCCAGGGAATACCGACCACACATTACTCCAAGTCCCTGCTTCTTTCCCAGCCACCCCCACCCCTCCACCAAACACGATCCCTGGGTTAATTTTTAGCATCACAGCTCGCACATTAGTCACTCCCTGTCACCCACCTACACGGCAGGAGGCTGCTGTGCGGGTGCTGTCATCGCATCTTCCGAGAGGTGGGATCCAGCCCCGCCCTGGGCACCCTCCTCTGGGTGCATGTGGCCAGCCAGGAGCCCCTTCAGCCTGGATGAGATGTGCTGACATCACTCCCTAGACTAGCCATGTGGGGGGAGGGGAGGTACAGGCTGGCAGAAGAGGGGCTGGGAATCTATTTGGGGAGGAAAACCCAGGGAGGCCCTTGCAGCCCAGGAAGGTGTAGGCTATGCCCAGGCAGCTGGTCTCCTGGCAGCCCTAGGCTCTGGGAACAAAGGTGTGAGAGGGCTCCTCCCCTGGACAGGAGCCCCTGGGAGCTGCTGTTTGTCATCACTGCAGAGCAGCTGTTCAAACAGGGAGCTTGGGGAGGCTCCATTTTCTTGATCAAATGTTCTCCCTCCCCAGGACCAGGGAGGGCAGGCAGCCAGGTGCAGGTACCTTGACTGGAGCCGACACCCAGCCCCAAAGGGACTTCCTGGGAGGGGCCCACATGTGCCAGCTACAGATGGAGCAGGGGAGGGGCCTCCTCAACCCCACCCCCCAGGGCTGACTGGCAGGGAGGTGGTGAGGATCCTTATGCAGGGGTGGTCTCAAGGAGACATTCCTGTTTATTGATCACCTGCTGTGTGACAGGCTGTGTAGACCCTGGAGGTACAGTGTAAACAAGGCTGAGTTTCCTGTCTTGGGAAGGCAAAGGGATAAAAAAGAAGTCAGTATAATTACCAATTGGGAGAAAGTGCTATAAATTAAAAAACAAGAGCTTAAGATAAAGAATGAAGTAAAGGGAAGTACTTCTGCTAAGGGAAACCTCTCTGAGAAGGTGTTTAAGCTGAAATCAGAGGATGGAGGAATCAGTCTTGTAGAGCACTCCAGGCAGAAAGAACAGCAGGGACAAAGACTTGAGGCAGGCAAGAGCTTGGAATATTTGAGGAACAGGGCTAGAATAGTGTGGCTTAAATATGGCATGTGACATGCAAGGACAAACAATTTGCACTTAAAGAGAAAGGCAGGGGCAAATCCTGGAGGGCCTTATACGGGGCATCCCAGTATAGTTGCAGAGGTTGTGTACTGCACAAAGGCTCCCAATTGCCAAATTGTTTAGCCTGTGTGGCTGCCATCAACCCAGAGGAAGGGATGTCTTTTTGTAATTTGTATGCCCAGAGGGACAAGATATTATGGACAGGCCATAGCAAAGAGTCTGGATTTTTATTCTTTTATTCCAGGGGGAGCCTTAATGGGTTTTAAGCAGAGGAGGGTTGTGATCCTTTTTGGAAAGAGAGCCCTGACTGCTGTGTGAGAAGGAATGGTCCAGGGACAAGAGGGGAAGCAGGGAGGTCATTCCAGAGGCAAGAGCAGTGGAGCAGAAGGGAAAGAGTAGGAGGTGGTCTGGCTGGGGGAGGGTCTACTTAGACCTCTTATGGCCACTCCTTATATGCTGGTTACTGCCTGTGAGGACCTAATGACTCAGGAGGCTTAAGTCTCAGGCTGCAGCTCTGCCCTTACTTTCTATGTGACCCGAGGCAGGTCACTTGCCCTGGGGTTGCTTCAAAGACCCAGTGATCACCTCTTGGAGATGCTTTGAGCACACACTGTTGAGGTTCCACCATGTGCAAGTAGAGGACAAGATATAAAGCAAAGAAAAAGACAGGAAAGGTCCCTGAGAGCTGCTGCAAGGATTGTCCATACTAATGGGAAGGGGAGCCAGGCCAAAATCAAAACCCATACAAGACCATTTGAGGGCTCTGCCACAGCAGAGGGTGTGACTAGTTTAGACTGGGTGGGAAGGCCTTTAGGAGGTTGAGCTGAATACTGGGGGAAGGGGATCTGAACACCAGGTACAGCAAGGTGGCCAGATCAGGGAGTCCGGGGAATCAAGATATTGAGGCAGGCAGGGGGCAGATACCCCAGCATGGGAGTTAGAATCTTATTCTGGGAGGACTGGGAAACCACTGAGTTCTAGAACAATGGAGTGATCTGTGATGGGGCCTGTCTCAGGTTGGGTGGATGATGGCTAAGGTCTCCTCTCTAGGAGACCCCAGACGCCAGGAAGGGAGGATGCCAAGCACAGTGTTTTGCACAGGGATAGTTAGGGACTTTAGATAAGCCTTGGCCACCACCTGTTGTGCACATTTGAGGGGCGCTCAAGATGCACTTAAACAAGAGGCCCAAGTTCTGAAGAGGGTGTGGGGCCTCTCGTTCAGGCCCATACATGTAAGTCAGAATCCCCCAGACTACTTCCCTGGCTGCAGGATCCAAGCAAATAAGATGTACAATACAGTGTGTGTGTGCTGGGGGCGGGGTGCGTGGAGTCATAGCTTGCCAGAGCCCAATCCTCCCCCTCAAGCAGTCACCACGCTGACACAGATGCAAAAAACCATCAATTTTATACAGTTAGTGGTTCAGAAGCAACAATATGCAAACCGGCGGAACAGTCTGTGCTGCCCCCACCCAAACTGGATGTGGCCATTCCTGTCCCCTGAGGGGCAGAGAATCCAGGACCCCTGCCCAGCAGGACCCAACTTAGTTACGGGCCCCTGGAAGGGGCCAAGCCCTTAGGGGTCAAGGCTGGGAGGAAGAGGACCAGCACCTGAGGCCCCTTCAGGGGCCTACTGGTTAACTGGAACAGTGTATGTGCGTGTGAAGGATGGGAGAACGACTGTCCATAGGCCATTTGTCCCCAAGGCCAAGGGTGGGGAGCAAGTAAAGCTGAGGAGAGGGCTTCGTGGGACAGGGATCCCCGCCACACATGGTGGGAGTTTTCCTGGACATCCCACAAGGCACTACTGACCCAGATGTAGGATGAACAGCCCATCTTTGCCCCCAAACCTCTTGCAAACCGGAGCTCGCCTGGTTCTCCCTGCCCCGCCTAACACTGTGGTTTAGGGTAGGAGCAGTAGAGCGGTCTGGGGCCTGCATTCGTGACTCAGCAGAGATAGGCCAGGAACCAGCCGTCTGGGGCTGGCAAGGACCCTCTCCCGCTGCTCTGGGATCCTGGGGTCCCGTCCGCCTGGGTGTCTGCCTCCCTCCCCCGCCCCCTTTTTGCTGGGACGAATAAATAAATAAATACCATCCCCCGCCCGCCCGCCCCTACAGCTGGCTCTCCTCCTCCTCCAGGGAGCGGTTGAGTCCGGGGATGAACTTGAGCAGCCGCCGACGGAAGCTGCGGTACTTCGTTTTGCGCAGGCCGGGGCCGCACAGGGCCTGCTCACGGGCCTCAGTCCAGAGCGCGCCCAGCGCGCCCCCGCCCCCGGGGCCTGCGCACCGCAGGCTGGCGCTGCGGCTCAGCATCGCCCTGGGCCCCGGGGCCGAGGCAGGAGGCTCGGCGGGGACGGATGAACGGGCAGGTGGCGGTGGCGGCGGCAGCGCAGGTGGGTCGGCGCCCCCGAAGAAGCACGTGTGGTAGACGGCGTCGTCCGCGTCGCCCCCGGCCCGCCGCGCGCCCCCACAGGGGGCTCGGGGCGCTGCCAGCAGAGGCCCGAAGGGCAGAGAGCCTGGGAGCAGACCCGCCCCGTACAGGCAGGAGCGCACGGACTCCAGAGTGTCGTAGATGCTCGGGTCCTTCACCACGAGGCCTGCCAGGGCAGAAAACACAGTCAGAGCGCCTGGGCAGGAGGGCTCGGCACCTTCCTACCGACCCTTGGGCAAGTCACAACCTCGAGCCCCACTTGCCTCATCTATAAAACAGGACCTAGGCACTCAAACCCTTAGGAGGACCACTTATACAAGAGCCATGGAAGGGATCTGAAACAAGCTCTTCGAGTCTTAGTTTTCCCATCTGTAAATTGGAGATGATACTATCTAATAATTACCTTCAGGGGGCAATGGGGGGCATAGCCTAAAAATGTGTGCCTCAGCACAGAGCGGTGTTGCACCCAAAGTAAGTACCTCAACAAACCTTTCTACACAACTGAAGTGACCCACCAGTTCGGAAGCAGAGGATGAATGATGGTGTCAGTAGGGGCACAAACACTTGTTCCCCCAGCCGACTCACCGTGCACCAGCCGCTGCTCCTGCACCATCAGGGACCTGTATTCTCCCCACTTCTCATACAGGGTTTGCTGCAAGACACGCCCCACTTCCCTGTCAGGAGCTAGCAATAAATTAGCAGGAGGTGGGCACAGACCAAGGGGTCAGGGAGTGCACAGAAGAATCCTTAAGGTTAAAGGGAGGTTCCGACAGATAGTGATGCCCTAAAAAAACAGTGGGACCTGCAGGGGCAGGGGCCTGGGAAGAGGAGAGCAGAGACCAGACATTCCCCAGGCTGCTTTACCTTCAGGTACTGCAGGCGTGCCTCCAGTTCCGCTTTCCGAATCGAAGTCCCATACAGAGTTTCCAGTCTGAGGGGGTTGGGGAATCAGAGGCCCAGTGAGTCCGCAGGGCGAGGAAGCACCGACATCAAGACTGTCATCAAGGCTGTCAGGGCTAAAGGAAGCCTGCCGGCCCACAGACACCTGGACATACCTGAGAACGTTGCCAGAAGCCTTGATGATGTCAACAATCTCTCGATGCCTGATCCCTTCTACGTTCAGGCCGTTGACACTGGCGATGGTGTCACCTGCCAGGCAGAGACGAGGTCAGTATCTGCCTTACACATGGGACACAATGGAAGAACTCCAGCCCCCTACTCTAGCCAGAAAGGGCAGGGGCAATAACCCCGAAGAATACTCCTGAACTCCCTCCCCAACTCCTCATGGTTCTGGGGAGACCTTGTCCAGACCCAGCACCCCAGTGCAGGGGCCAGAGCCCACAGACACCCACACCCTAAGCTCTGTCCCCAAAGACTGCCCTCAGAGTTGGTTACTTCTGACCAGCCCACAGGCTGTCAGGAGACTCAGCCACGGCAGGAAGGGGGCTGGGTGAGTAGTACCAAGCTGGGAACTGGCCCCAGACCTCAGCTTCTGATACCCTGTATCACTACAGGGCCTCCTGACTCAGGGCAGGGTAAGCCACCACATCTGAGGGCACATTTCCCATCTGTAAAAAGGGGGTGTAGACCTCTACTGTGGCTACCTTGGGGATCAGGAGGGAGTGGATATGAAACTACTTTGCAGAGTTGCAATATACCTCTTGGTAACTGGGATCTGCTGGTAAGCGGGCAAGGAAGTGAAGGTTTAGGGAAGAAGTGGTGATAGAACTGGGGAAGGTCAATTGGTGCAGTCTGAGGCTGCCCCTTCCTGGGACCTGGGGACTCTATAGATTTGACCAATCCCGAGGGTGTCTTCCTGGAGGCATCATTTCCTTGTTAGAGGAAGTAACACAGGTACCTCAGAGTTGGGCTGGGTCCAGGGGCAGGATAGGACCTGATCCCCAGTATTAAGCAGATCTAATGGGAAGTTTCTCCTTCTCCAATTCCTGCCCTTGCTGGATTGCCACAGTGCTGGCGGGGAGGCAGAACAGCAGCAGTATCTGCCATTTACCAGGCCCTGGCTCTCTGCCCAGGGAGCCCCTCACCACAGTATGATGTGAGCATCTGTTATTCCCCCATTTTGCAGATGAGACTGCTCAAGATCACACAGTAAATGGACATTTGCCTGGATCCAAAGCCTGGATTCTATCCACTCTCTCTGGCTTTCTCAAACTAGGAGGAGGAAGGGAAACTGATTTCAGAAGAGACCTCTTGTGCTCTCTGCTTGGGAGTAAGGTCATACCCCCTTCCCAGAGCCCTGTGTCCTGGACTCAGGCCCTACCTGGTGTGAGCCCAGCCAGCTGGGCAGGGCTGGACTCATGAACCCGGCAGACAAAAGTCACCATCTCCACACGCTGCTCCTCTCGGTGGTGAAGGCCGTAAGTCTGCAACAGACAGGGGGCTCCTCAGCCAGGGGTGGGGCAGGGTCCATCCACCCCTCAGACTGGCCTCGCAACCCCTCACTCCCCCTGCACCCAGCTTCTCCCACCTGGATCTCAAAGCCGAAGGTCTGGTTCTCCTCCTTCTCCAAAGTCAGCACTTTCCTACAGGAGACACGGGCCATGTCATCAAGACTGTCAGGGCTAAAAGAAGCCTGGCAGCCCACAGTGTGGCCCTCCACTGATGCTGGAGTCTGCTCCAGAACGTCCAGGCAGGGCTCACTGCCTTCAGGGACAATTTGCTCTCATCACAGGTTGTTGGAATGTCCTTTCCCAAACCAGCTGAAATCAGCTTCTCAGAGTTGCACACAATCAATCCAGCCTCCTGTGGAGGGAGGCACTGGCGATGGTTGGCCCCCAGAGGGAATGGACTAGATGTTTTTCAGCCACACCTCGGCTTTCTCGTGAGCCCCAGCGTGCTGCTTACTGAGTAGCTCAGGCCCCAAATTCAGCCCCAGCCTACAGCCGCCTCTGCTCCACAGCCTTGGGGAGAGGGCTGGCCCCACCCCCAAAGGCCAGTCACGAGGCTCAGCCCGGACCACAGCTGCTCCTCCCAGCTGCGGTGGGGCCAGCCCACCAGATGTGAGGGGGGAGGGGAGCCTCGAGGCCGCCCCTTCCCGCACTGAAGGCCTGCCCACTGGACACAATGGTCTGGAGCCACTCCAGATCCTCGCCTGCTGGGGAGCCCAGAGTTTCCTTTGCCCACCCCCACCCCCTTCCTTCCCGCCCAGCCAAAGGCAAAGTTAAAGTAGCCTCCGGAGGCCCCTCCAAGTCTCACAGCCTCAGAAAGGCCCTGGACACCCAGGCCCCTGGCTCCCGGCCTGACCCAGACACCCCCAAATGCTGAGCAGCAACTCCCCGCCCCAAGCTGAGCTCCTGTCACTGAATTCAGGCCTTTCCCTGTCTGTGCATGCTAGGAGGGGAGCAGGGTGACTGAAAGTTGTGTGTACCCCAGTGCTCTCTGGTTTTCTGGAAGGGTTGGCAAATACTTTCTGCAAAGGGCCAGATAGTAAATATTTTAGGCTTTCTTTGTGGGCCCCCTTTGGCCTCTGACATCTATTGTTCTTTGTTTTTATTTTTATAATGCTTTGGAAATGTAAAAACAACTCAGCTCAAAGGCCAAACAGGTCAACCTGGCCAGCAGGCCATAGTCTGCTGATCCCTTTTAGAAGAAGCCTGGCCCAAATCAGGACGGGACATAAGCACAGTGGGGCCTGAGGTCAGCACCTACTTCTGCCCTCACCTCAGATTCTTTTTGAAAGGACCACCACAGAGGAGAGCAGTGCAGGACTGAGATTCTGGAGGCAGGAGCAGCCAGCCTCAGGCAGCTAGACACAGCTTGCTCATGGCTGGGGCGCTCAGGGTTGCCGGGGCCGGGAGGGCTCAGGGAAGCCCAGATTTCTCCTACTCCCTCCACCTCCCAGATCCAGCTCTTCCCAGGCAGGGTAACTGGCAGGGACTGGGGGTGGGTTGAGGAGCACCTGATGACTCAAAAGTCCCTACCTCTTTCTCTACCACCCCTTTCACACAGCCCACACCCCCACCTGCCCCCACTCCTAGTGAAGAAGCCCTACTGAAAGGGTAGGAGAATGATACCCCACCCCTACTCCCACCCCATTGGACTGAGATGCTGTGTCATGCTGCCCCCCACAGCCACCCCAGCACCTCACCCTGTTGAACCAGTGCAGGGGTTGGGGTGGTGGTGACTCACCGCTGCTGTTCAGGACTCTGGCTGAGATTCTTCCAGCGGAATCCTGAGCCCTGGTGGAGAAGACAGAGAGGAAGGAGCAGGTGAGAGAAGGGCCATCTTTGGGCAGAAGCTGAGAGCCCTACTCTGCTTGATCCCTCACCTGTGCTCCAGACCCAGCCCCTCACTTTCTGTTACTGGTCTGTGTGGTCCTAGTTCCACACCTGCTTTTGTGCTGGTCTAAGTTCTTGCTGAGTGCCACTATTAGTATCACTCCATAGCTTTCTCCCTAGGTTCTACCTCTGTAACTGGGACTGTGGGGACACACAGTCTTCCAGGGCTCCAGATGCATGAACCTCTGAGCCGTGTGCTGTTTCCCAGCCTTGGAGTGGGGAATGGAGTTCATTAATCCAGATAGAAGAGCCTTCACTCCAAGGGTGCATGTCTGCAGGGCATCAGGCCTCCAGATCCTGTAAGCTCAGACAGGGACTCTTTCCAGATGGTTCCAAAGGAGGGGAGGGGGCTCCTGTGCTTGCCTGTCAAGGCAGTCCAGAGACCCTCTGCCAGTTGGGTCTCTTCTTCTGATTTTTCAGCCACAGACAGTGGCTTGGAGGAGTAGGGGGTCAGGGGCCAGGTCTGGAGGGCCAGCGGTGCTAGCCTGAACTTGGGAGGGCAGGGAACAGGAGAGCCAGGCCTCGCCCCCCAAAAGTAGTTTACTTCAGGGACCAACTGTGGGTCCCAGGTGCAGGTGGCCAGCTATGCTCTGCGGTACTTCGTTTTGCGCAGGCCGGGGCCGCACAGGGCCTGCTCACGGGCCTCAGTCCAGAGCGCGCCCAGCGCGCCCCCGCCCCCGGGGCCTGCGCACCGCAGGCTGGCGCTGCGGCTCAGCATCGCCCTGGGCCCCGGGGCCGAGGCAGGAGGCTCGGCGGGGACGGATGAACGGGCAGGTGGCGGTGGCGGCGGCAGCGCAGGTGGGTCGGCGCCCCCGAAGAAGCACGTGTGGTAGACGGCGTCGTCCGCGTCGCCCCCGGCCCGCCGCGCGCCCCCACAGGGGGCTCGGGGCGCTGCCAGCAGAGGCCCGAAGGGCAGAGAGCCTGGGAGCAGACCCGCCCCGTACAGGCAGGAGCGCACGGACTCCAGAGTGTCGTAGATGCTCGGGTCCTTCACCACGAGGCCTGCCAGGGCAGAAAACACAGTCAGAGCGCCTGGGCAGGAGGGCTCGGCACCTTCCTACCGACCCTTGGGCAAGTCACAACCTCGAGCCCCACTTGCCTCATCTATAAAACAGGACCTAGGCACTCAAACCCTTAGGAGGACCACTTATACAAGAGCCATGGAAGGGATCTGAAACAAGCTCTTCGAGTCTTAGTTTTCCCATCTGTAAATTGGAGATGATACTATCTAATAATTACCTTCAGGGGGCAATGGGGGGCATAGCCTAAAAATGTGTGCCTCAGCACAGAGCGGTGTTGCACCCAAAGTAAGTACCTCAACAAACCTTTCTACACAACTGAAGTGACCCACCAGTTCGGAAGCAGAGGATGAATGATGGTGTCAGTAGGGGCACAAACACTTGTTCCCCCAGCCGACTCACCGTGCACCAGCCGCTGCTCCTGCACCATCAGGGACCTGTATTCTCCCCACTTCTCATACAGGGTTTGCTGCAAGACACGCCCCACTTCCCTGTCAGGAGCTAGCAATAAATTAGCAGGAGGTGGGCACAGACCAAGGGGTCAGGGAGTGCACAGAAGAATCCTTAAGGTTAAAGGGAGGTTCCGACAGATAGTGATGCCCTAAAAAAACAGTGGGACCTGCAGGGGCAGGGGCCTGGGAAGAGGAGAGCAGAGACCAGACATTCCCCAGGCTGCTTTACCTTCAGGTACTGCAGGCGTGCCTCCAGTTCCGCTTTCCGAATCGAAGTCCCATACAGAGTTTCCAGTCTGAGGGGGTTGGGGAATCAGAGGCCCAGTGAGTCCGCAGGGCGAGGAAGCACCGACATCAAGACTGTCATCAAGGCTGTCAGGGCTAAAGGAAGCCTGCCGGCCCACAGACACCTGGACATACCTGAGAACGTTGCCAGAAGCCTTGATGATGTCAACAATCTCTCGATGCCTGATCCCTTCTACGTTCAGGCCGTTGACACTGGCGATGGTGTCACCTGCCAGGCAGAGACGAGGTCAGTATCTGCCTTACACATGGGACACAATGGAAGAACTCCAGCCCCCTACTCTAGCCAGAAAGGGCAGGGGCAATAACCCCGAAGAATACTCCTGAACTCCCTCCCCAACTCCTCATGGTTCTGGGGAGACCTTGTCCAGACCCAGCACCCCAGTGCAGGGGCCAGAGCCCACAGACACCCACACCCTAAGCTCTGTCCCCAAAGACTGCCCTCAGAGTTGGTTACTTCTGACCAGCCCACAGGCTGTCAGGAGACTCAGCCACGGCAGGAAGGGGGCTGGGTGAGTAGTACCAAGCTGGGAACTGGCCCCAGACCTCAGCTTCTGATACCCTGTATCACTACAGGGCCTCCTGACTCAGGGCAGGGTAAGCCACCACATCTGAGGGCACATTTCCCATCTGTAAAAAGGGGGTGTAGACCTCTACTGTGGCTACCTTGGGGATCAGGAGGGAGTGGATATGAAACTACTTTGCAGAGTTGCAATATACCTCTTGGTAACTGGGATCTGCTGGTAAGCGGGCAAGGAAGTGAAGGTTTAGGGAAGAAGTGGTGATAGAACTGGGGAAGGTCAATTGGTGCAGTCTGAGGCTGCCCCTTCCTGGGACCTGGGGACTCTATAGATTTGACCAATCCCGAGGGTGTCTTCCTGGAGGCATCATTTCCTTGTTAGAGGAAGTAACACAGGTACCTCAGAGTTGGGCTGGGTCCAGGGGCAGGATAGGACCTGATCCCCAGTATTAAGCAGATCTAATGGGAAGTTTCTCCTTCTCCAATTCCTGCCCTTGCTGGATTGCCACAGTGCTGGCGGGGAGGCAGAACAGCAGCAGTATCTGCCATTTACCAGGCCCTGGCTCTCTGCCCAGGGAGCCCCTCACCACAGTATGATGTGAGCATCTGTTATTCCCCCATTTTGCAGATGAGACTGCTCAAGATCACACAGTAAATGGACATTTGCCTGGATCCAAAGCCTGGATTCTATCCACTCTCTCTGGCTTTCTCAAACTAGGAGGAGGAAGGGAAACTGATTTCAGAAGAGACCTCTTGTGCTCTCTGCTTGGGAGTAAGGTCATACCCCCTTCCCAGAGCCCTGTGTCCTGGACTCAGGCCCTACCTGGTGTGAGCCCAGCCAGCTGGGCAGGGCTGGACTCATGAACCCGGCAGACAAAAGTCACCATCTCCACACGCTGCTCCTCTCGGTGGTGAAGGCCGTAAGTCTGCAACAGACAGGGGGCTCCTCAGCCAGGGGTGGGGCAGGGTCCATCCACCCCTCAGACTGGCCTCGCAACCCCTCACTCCCCCTGCACCCAGCTTCTCCCACCTGGATCTCAAAGCCGAAGGTCTGGTTCTCCTCCTTCTCCAAAGTCAGCACTTTCCTACAGGAGACACGGGCCATGTCATCAAGACTGTCAGGGCTAAAAGAAGCCTGGCAGCCCACAGTGTGGCCCTCCACTGATGCTGGAGTCTGCTCCAGAACGTCCAGGCAGGGCTCACTGCCTTCAGGGACAATTTGCTCTCATCACAGGTTGTTGGAATGTCCTTTCCCAAACCAGCTGAAATCAGCTTCTCAGAGTTGCACACAATCAATCCAGCCTCCTGTGGAGGGAGGCACTGGCGATGGTTGGCCCCCAGAGGGAATGGACTAGATGTTTTTCAGCCACACCTCGGCTTTCTCGTGAGCCCCAGCGTGCTGCTTACTGAGTAGCTCAGGCCCCAAATTCAGCCCCAGCCTACAGCCGCCTCTGCTCCACAGCCTTGGGGAGAGGGCTGGCCCCACCCCCAAAGGCCAGTCACGAGGCTCAGCCCGGACCACAGCTGCTCCTCCCAGCTGCGGTGGGGCCAGCCCACCAGATGTGAGGGGGGAGGGGAGCCTCGAGGCCGCCCCTTCCCGCACTGAAGGCCTGCCCACTGGACACAATGGTCTGGAGCCACTCCAGATCCTCGCCTGCTGGGGAGCCCAGAGTTTCCTTTGCCCACCCCCACCCCCTTCCTTCCCGCCCAGCCAAAGGCAAAGTTAAAGTAGCCTCCGGAGGCCCCTCCAAGTCTCACAGCCTCAGAAAGGCCCTGGACACCCAGGCCCCTGGCTCCCGGCCTGACCCAGACACCCCCAAATGCTGAGCAGCAACTCCCCGCCCCAAGCTGAGCTCCTGTCACTGAATTCAGGCCTTTCCCTGTCTGTGCATGCTAGGAGGGGAGCAGGGTGACTGAAAGTTGTGTGTACCCCAGTGCTCTCTGGTTTTCTGGAAGGGTTGGCAAATACTTTCTGCAAAGGGCCAGATAGTAAATATTTTAGGCTTTCTTTGTGGGCCCCCTTTGGCCTCTGACATCTATTGTTCTTTGTTTTTATTTTTATAATGCTTTGGAAATGTAAAAACAACTCAGCTCAAAGGCCAAACAGGTCAACCTGGCCAGCAGGCCATAGTCTGCTGATCCCTTTTAGAAGAAGCCTGGCCCAAATCAGGACGGGACATAAGCACAGTGGGGCCTGAGGTCAGCACCTACTTCTGCCCTCACCTCAGATTCTTTTTGAAAGGACCACCACAGAGGAGAGCAGTGCAGGACTGAGATTCTGGAGGCAGGAGCAGCCAGCCTCAGGCAGCTAGACACAGCTTGCTCATGGCTGGGGCGCTCAGGGTTGCCGGGGCCGGGAGGGCTCAGGGAAGCCCAGATTTCTCCTACTCCCTCCACCTCCCAGATCCAGCTCTTCCCAGGCAGGGTAACTGGCAGGGACTGGGGGTGGGTTGAGGAGCACCTGATGACTCAAAAGTCCCTACCTCTTTCTCTACCACCCCTTTCACACAGCCCACACCCCCACCTGCCCCCACTCCTAGTGAAGAAGCCCTACTGAAAGGGTAGGAGAATGATACCCCACCCCTACTCCCACCCCATTGGACTGAGATGCTGTGTCATGCTGCCCCCCACAGCCACCCCAGCACCTCACCCTGTTGAACCAGTGCAGGGGTTGGGGTGGTGGTGACTCACCGCTGCTGTTCAGGACTCTGGCTGAGATTCTTCCAGCGGAATCCTGAGCCCTGGTGGAGAAGACAGAGAGGAAGGAGCAGGTGAGAGAAGGGCCATCTTTGGGCAGAAGCTGAGAGCCCTACTCTGCTTGATCCCTCACCTGTGCTCCAGACCCAGCCCCTCACTTTCTGTTACTGGTCTGTGTGGTCCTAGTTCCACACCTGCTTTTGTGCTGGTCTAAGTTCTTGCTGAGTGCCACTATTAGTATCACTCCATAGCTTTCTCCCTAGGTTCTACCTCTGTAACTGGGACTGTGGGGACACACAGTCTTCCAGGGCTCCAGATGCATGAACCTCTGAGCCGTGTGCTGTTTCCCAGCCTTGGAGTGGGGAATGGAGTTCATTAATCCAGATAGAAGAGCCTTCACTCCAAGGGTGCATGTCTGCAGGGCATCAGGCCTCCAGATCCTGTAAGCTCAGACAGGGACTCTTTCCAGATGGTTCCAAAGGAGGGGAGGGGGCTCCTGTGCTTGCCTGTCAAGGCAGTCCAGAGACCCTCTGCCAGTTGGGTCTCTTCTTCTGATTTTTCAGCCACAGACAGTGGCTTGGAGGAGTAGGGGGTCAGGGGCCAGGTCTGGAGGGCCAGCGGTGCTAGCCTGAACTTGGGAGGGCAGGGAACAGGAGAGCCAGGCCTCGCCCCCCAAAAGTAGTTTACTTCAGGGACCAACTGTGGGTCCCAGGTGCAGGTGGCCAGCTATGCTCAGCTCTGTGGGATGTCCCAACATTGCTGTATATTTTGTTGCTTTTTAGAACAAAAAAACCTTAGATCTCAAACTTGTCCTCATGTCTCTACCTAAGGAGAGAGATGAGAAGTTCTTTATCTTGGGGGAGGGGTGACAAAGTTGAGTTTCTTGCCACTTTAGTGCCCGTGAGAAACTAAAGCAGTCTCTCTCCCTCCCTAAATTATTGGTCCATGGATGAACCCCTGTCTCAGACCAGCCCGTGCCCCATGTGCCCTAAACAACCCAGAACTTCCCCAGTTGGTGCCCCCACCCTGCCCCCGCCCCCAGACTGCCCCAAGGCAGATAGAGAAGGGGGCCCTCTTTCTCCAGAAGCAGAGTGGCGTTAAGGGTGGGGACAGTTCCCAAATGGGCCGGGGAGGAGGGACTGGGCAGCATAGAGAGACCCCTTTGTCTTTCAACCCAATTTTCATAAAATGCAAATTCTCAACAAGCTGTTCATTGTGTGGGGGGAGCTGGGGGCCAGGGGAGAAGAAGGGGGGGTTGAGCAGGGAAAGGCCACTAGCCCTCTCCCCTTAACCTGGGTCCTGTGTCCCCCTTTCTGAGTGCTCTGGTTCCCCTCAGGCCAGAGGAAGAGCCCCGCAGAGGGGGAGACTCAGAGGGCGGGCGCGGCTCGAATCCTTCCTGCCCCGCGGGTGCCCCGTGACCCCTCCCATCGCGTCCGGTCCCCGCCGGAGTCCAGGGAGCAGTGGCCTTGAACCCGGCACCTCAGATGCAGGGCAAGGAGGCAGGCCCAGAGCCCAGGAATCCGGGCGACCCCTCGGAAGGGTGAGCTCTTGGGATTCGGCGGCGCCGCTCATGCTTCCTCGGTGAGAACGCACGCGGCGCGTCCACCCGCCCTCCCAATCCCCCCGGGCTCTGGGCCCTCAACTTCTCCCGGCGAGCTGCGGGACCCCAGCCCTAGGCCTCCCCACTCCAATCGGGGAAGCCCGGGCGAGGGATCTTGGGGGCCTCGAGACACCTGGACGCGGAGAGACGGGACACAGGCTGGGGTGAAGGGCAGATGGGCCGGACAGAAGAAGGGGGATGTCCAGGAGGAGTCCCGAAGGAGAGCAGCGAGACGGGGAGGCGGCGCGAGGGGAATGGAGTGGGGAGCCACTGAGATTGGGGGCGGCGTGGAGGCGGTGACCGCGGGGGCGGGAGGAGAGGGCCGAGGGGACTCGGCAGGTTCTGAACGTGTCCGTGGGGGGCAACGGGCTGGGGAAGAATGTGGGGGACCCAGTAGACCCCGAGGAAAATGTTGTGGGGGGTCAGCAGACACAATGGGGGACGTTGAGGCCAGAGCCGGTCCCGAGGAAGGGACGCCGGAGGGGACCGAAAGCAGGGGGGTTGGGGGTGGGGGACGCACCTTTCGGCGGGGCAGGGTGCCCCCGGACACAGCGAGCGCGCGATACAGCTCGGCCGGGTGATAGTCCTCCAGCGCCGCGTACAGCTCGTCCCCAGGAGCCCCAGGGCTGGCGGCTGCAGCCCGGGGGCCCGAGGCTGGGGTCGGGGACGGAGCGGCGGGAGCGACTTCCGAGTCGGGAGCCCGGGCGGCGGGGTCCGGGGCGGCTGCCGCCTCCTCCTTCTGCTGCAGCTTCCTGAGTCGGCGGAGGGTCATGGCTCCGGCGCCCCTCAGAGGCAGCGCTGGTTCCGCGCGGCCGGGACACCAGCGGCTTGGGGATGCCAGCCCGGCGGGCGGCGGGTGTCCTCCCTTTATAGGATCGGAGAGCGGGGCGGGCTAGGGGCTGGGCGGGGAGCCGCCTCCGGGTGGCTGGGCTCCCGGAGAAGCGGGCCCCGCCCCCCGGGGGGCTGCGGTCCCAGAGCCCCGCCCACGCCGCCCGAGGCCCGGCTCCCCTGGGGAACTCCTGGGGACGAGAGCGCTCAATGGGGGAAAAACCTAGCCTGGCGGTTGAGGGGGCAGCGCATCCCAGGGCGAGGCCACGGGCCTCCGTGACACCTGGCATTGCGGGAGTGGGGAGCTAGCGGGAAGCGGAGGGTGCCTCTGGGAAGGGGCTTGTGCACGAGATTGATTTGAAATTTTAGGGATGGGTAGCTTTGGAGATTCATGGAGAATCTGGTGGTGGCGGACAGTAAGGGGTCATTGTGAAGAGGTTTGGAGGTTCAGAGTAAGGTTCTAGGAGATCCAGGTTACTACAGGAGGCTTGAAGCAGAGGAGGTGCCTGGGCAGGGGGAGGAGGAGGCCCCTGAAGGAGGGGAGATGCTCCGGAACTAACTTGCTGAAGCTCCCAAGGAGTGAGAACGCCAGGATTCTCCCTTTTCACAGCTGCCCAAAAAAAGGTGAAAGAGGTGGCCACCTTTTCCCGTATCAACAAGAAAGTGAAGTAGTGGAAACCCAAAAAGCATGCTTAATTCTGGCCTGTGCGCTCAGAAGGTGGGGAGAGATCCTTCCTGGATAAGCCTTCCTCAGCTCCCGATGTTGGAGCTGATACCCCTTTCCAGTAGACAGATCCTTACTCTGGCTTGACTCACGGAGAGGGGGATGTGCCTGAGCTGAGTGGGTGCTCATGGTTGGGGACTGTGCTCAGACATCCTCTGACTCTGTCTCAGGGACCATCCCCGGTGCTGTGCTGCAGTGGCTGCCAGGCCGTGGGAGAGGAGGGGATGGCCTAGTTGAAGCCTCTGTCGTCAATGGTGCCTGAATAAGAAGTGAGAGGAGGAAGTGGCAGGCCAGGCCTGGCGTCTAAAGAGCGGATAGCCACTACAGGGCGTCAGCACCACAAGCTGGGGGGCGCCACACCCAACATCAGTCACTGAACAGAGGCTGGGGAGGCATCGTCCCCATATGTCCCTTCTCCTCCAGTCTTCCCAAATCTGTTAGGCCTTTATAGCTGACATTTATTGAGCATTTACCATGTGCCATGCACTGTTCTTTGTGTGCTTTTACATACATATATTAACTCACTTGGTCCTCATAATAACCCTATGAAATAGGTACCATTATCATCCCTTGCAGATGAGGAAACTGAGGCCCAGAGAGGTTAAGTAACTTACTCAAGGCCACTCAGTGGCCTAGACTCAAACCCAGGCAGCCTGCCTCCAGAGCCCGTGTGACACTGTGTTCTTTGCTTCTTCATTCACCCTACTGGGCACTGGGGTTACAGAGGCCTTTGGTTTGGTAGAGAGCTGAACATGGACATGTGCTGTTGGATGGATGGTACGCGGAGTACAGAGAGGCAAGTGGCCATATCCACCTGAGAGGCCAGGAAAGGCTTTGTCTCCTACCCAACTTAGTTCACGGTCTCAGTCTCCTTGCTTCCTTGTGATTTCTCCTTGACTCTCCCTGACCCTTCCTCACTCCTGGTGCCCCGGGGGCCCCTAGCCCCTATAGGAGGTGTGGGTGGGAGGGGATGCTTCTCCACCCCTCCCTGATAACACAAGTCCAGATGGCTGGAGGCTTGTTGGGTAGTGGGCAGGGGGTGGACTGGGGACAGCGGAGAGCCAAGACTGGGCTCCCTTAGTGCCCTCCTCTCCCTCCTCCCCACTTGGCACCACTAAGTGGCCATCAGCTGAGGGGCCGAGGGGGTGTCGGTGGGGAAACATGGAACTCTATTGTGAAGCATTAGCCCAGATGGCCCCCTGGCCCGTCTGCTGCCTGCTCCTGACAGATGGCATCTGTGATGGGGGTGGGGAGGCGAGCAAAGGCAGAAGAGGGGATGGTTTCCATTCTCTTCACTCCTGTGCTTATCCCTAATGGGACTTGCCTCTTCTGGGACGGATCCCTGCCCCACCTATCCCAGAGGGTTACCTAATAGACGCCTTTCTGTCTGAAACCTGCAGAAGTAGATGCCAGGGGCCTCATAGCACCTGTGTCTAACAGCCCTGTTGAGACGTTTCTCCTTCAGGCTGATGTGGTCTCCTTCCGAGACTTCCCCTCAGTATGAAGGTCAGGCCTCCAAGTGAGAGGCCACCCCACAGAGGGAGGCACATGTTTTCGCCTCCTGCCAGGCAGGGTGCCCTAGAGAACCCTAGAGTAAGGGCGGGCCCAGGAAATCAATGTCTAGTAGGCTCATTGCATGATTTTCTCAAATCCTGGAATTTCAGGGCCAGAAGGGATATTATGTTGTCTAACCCTATTTAACAGGAGGTTAACTGAGGCCAGGGAGGAAGCAATGGTGGCAGAACAGGCACTAGAACCCACTAGATTCCAGGTCTCCTGGCTCTGGAGATGTTTAATTGAGCTGCAGGTAGCTCCCCTGTGAGCTTAGAGATCCATGCCTGCTTCCCTTTTCCCCATCTCCCGTATCCCTAGAGAGGTGATGGGAAACCTAGGATGCCACATTATGGGGTGGTGATGCCCTCTGGTGGCTGTGAGTTTCTTGGTGGAAAATCTTCAAACCAGCCTCTGAAGGGCTGTCTGTCTGGCTGGTGCCTGCCTCCACCTGGAATCCCAGCTGGGTCTCACGACTCCTCTCCCACCTGCGAGGCTGTGTGTGGCACTGAGACACCAAGCTCCACTCTGGTCATGGAGCTCTGGAATAACACACCAGGCACCTTTAGGAAGTTGGTTTTTGCTCTCAGCCAGGGATGCCTACAAGTGAAATTCTTCAGGGATGGGCCGACAGCCAGTGGGCCTTCCTGGTGTAACGCCACATGCCAGACAGTACACGGGGCCCTAAACCTTTGCCTTTTATCACCCTCCCCGACTTCCTCCTCCATCTCAGTCTCTTGCCTAGCATCTGCTCTCATCCTATCTTCTGCAGCTCCTTAAAGCTTGGGGGTGGTGGGGAGCATGCTGCATGCCCTGCAACAGTGTACTAGGACACCTCCCCTCTGCACTCCTCCCTCTGGAAGGCCTCCTTGCAAAAGCCCCACAGCTCTGGCTCCTCAAGACATCTGCACTCAATCTGTACCTTATTCCCAGAGCAAGTCCCTGTCTTTCTGAATGAGCTTCCCAGGTTTTGCTTCCTTTTGCTCCAGGTGCACTGGCTTCTAGCTCTCAGGACAGGGCTTGGCCTGTGGTGGGGCACAGACAGCAGGGGCTCAACTAACGGACAAGGCCTACATAAGACCCCTTCTCTTTGGAACAAGCCCTTGAGCTCAGATACATAGCAGTCAACAGTCCCCCATGGAGGAAGTTGGGGAGCTGAATCTTGTGCCCACCGATTTGCTCAAGTTCTAGGGTACCATCAGGAAGTCAGGGTACATGGGGAGATAGTTCCAGAAGCTCAGGCCCTCTTGAATCAAACTTGGTGTCAGAGCTCTCACGTGGTCCTTTCATCCCAGAACTGGCAGAAGGGGCTCCTTTCTGGGTATTACCACGGCTGCTCAGCTGGGGAGGGGGAGAGATGGCCAGGGCCTCTGCTGGCTCTCTGGTCAGGAATGAGGGGCTCGGCCCCCAGCTGCATGACAGTGAGGGAGGCATGACAGCCGGTGGGCAGCTGACTGGGCAGGGAGGGATTGATTTTCTTAATGGCGACTACTGCCTGACAGTTTCCACGGGATAGTGTCTGTGTGTGGTGCTGGGGCCCAGAGTAGCCCAGCCCCAGGATGGATCCATCACAGCCCAAAGGACCGATTCTAGGGGGTCTGGGGTAGGGGAAGGCAGATATGGCAACTTATTAGGGTTGGATGTGGGTAGGTCCTGGTTCTAGCCCCACTCAGGGGCCAGGGGCCATCTTACTTCTGGGTGCAGATGGCAAGGTGTCTCTGACTTGAACAGGTTAGACGGGCAGAAGGAAGGGAGGGTTAACTCTCCAGCTTTCTTTACAGCATCCACACATTACCCATTAGACACAGGCTGTTATTCTACCTGCCTCATTTTAGAATGGGTACAGATGTGGGGGCAGAAAATGACAGCTCTCAGGGCCCCCGACTTCCCTTCCTGGAGCGTCTCTCTTTCGGTGAACACAGCTGCTCTGGTGGTCCATCCCTGGTTCCCTGTCCCAGGGGAGAGACTGTGCACCAGGCTGAGGTTCTCCCATCTACTCCAAACTGCAATGACTCCCCTCTTTCCCCTTCCATTCATACCGGAACGTGCCCCGAACCTGTGCATTCTGCACCCTCTCTCCTTTCCTCCAGCTGCTCCCGCTGTACCACTGCCCTGGCCTCCTACGGTCTGCACTGTGATCTTTCCCAAACACAAAGAGGCTCACATCACTCCCCACTGTCCACTACAACAGAAATGACTAGGAGATTGTAACTTATAGGACAACTCCATATAAGTATGATATTAAGAAAAATTTGGAGACCAAGTCCAGACTCAAGAGAAAAACTTACTCATTAGCACAGTCTGAGGTAGCTGCTACAGGGGATGTGATGGCACTGGTGGCCCCAAGGATGAAGTATTGATTTCTCAGCAGGTGACAGCTCCAACAGACTCCCTCACTGCACCCCTGGCTCCACTGCTTTATTCACTGCTTTGACCTTGGTGACATGTTCTTGAATGGTGACTTTTTGACTAAACCCCCTCCTTCTCCTCAGTCAGAAGGCTAATGCCTGCAACAAAATAGATGATGTCAACTCTCTTGACCCCAATCTGTCTGTCCTGTGTTCCCAGGGCATTCTGTGTCTGCCCCTATCACAATACATACCCCACTCCATTGTAGTTGTCTACCTACTAGGCCACCAGACAGGGAGCACGTGGAGGGCTGCGACACATGCTTTCTTTCCCTAGGCACCTCATCTGTGCTTTCATGACGTGTTACATATTGCTCTGTAATGAAATTATAGAACTTGCCTTATTGTTCTCTCCATACAAATCTTTCTCCATCTTGAAGGGCAGGGACCACAGATTGTTCATCTTTGTATTCTGCCTACTTCTTTACACACCAAGGTTGCTCAACAAATGCTTTTAAATAGAGCCTAGTCTATCTGAATGTCCTCAAGCCTTCCTGCCCCATGAGCCCCCATCCTGGGCTCCAAGGGAGCATTCCCAATGGACCGAGGACCATCTGCCATATTCCTTAAATCCCATCCTGTCTGACCAAAAATCTCTGGGTATGTTTGGTCAAACACATCTAGACATTGCTGTGAAGGTATGTTTTAGATGTGATTAACATTTCAACAGTAGACTTTGAGTAAAGCAGATTATCCTCCGTAATTTGGATAGGCTTCATCCAATCAGTTGAAGGCCTTAGAAGATGGAGGTCCCCTGAGGAAGAAGGAATCCTGCCTCCAGACTGCCATAGGACTACACCCTATCAGTTCTTCCTGTCTGCCTGAAACCCCATTGTATCAATTCTCTAGCCTGTCGGCCTGATTTCAGACTTGCCAGCCCTCTAGATGATGAGTCAATTCCTGAGAATCAATCTTTTTCTGTATTTATACATACATCCCATTGGTTCTGTCTTTCTGGAAAACACTGACATGCCATCCCTGGTTCGAGCCAAAGCTTTCTTTCCACCCTCAATCCTTCATTAGGCACCCCTCATCTATCCCTGAGTCTCTTGAATTCTACTACACTAAATTTTGTTTCGGTTGTATTTAGCAAGCATGTTCTTGATTATAAAGATCAGAGGACATGGCCTGGTAGGCAAAGAAACTTAAGATGTATGAAACCCCAAAACCTAAGCTTGGTGATACACAATTCATATGAGCTCAGGTCTCTTGTGTCATGGGCTTTGTATGGTGAAACATTGTTAGTAACTTTCAAGAGCACATGAAAAATAGTTGCCATTCTGGTTTTCCAAATGGTAAAGCTGAACCTGCAATCCATAGCCCAGTGAATTTAAGGTGGAGGCCTGGCAAGATGACTGATTTTTCACAGGATATCTTTTGAACTAGGTTGGGATTCACTACAAACCACTTCACCTTTTCTTCTGATAGACAAGTAGACCAGAGATACAACAGCCACAAATACCTTGCCACTTCAGCAAAGCACCTGGGCTACTGGTGTTATCTTTGTCCATAAGAGAATTATGGCCAGGGCACAAAGGCAATTTAATTGCCCCAGTTTATTGGGATATATGCCAAACTTAAAGCCAACTTCTAGAGGTAAGTAATTTTCTCGCGCCCAACAGTCTTACATGGGAGAACAATGGAAAACTCTGGGTAATCATCAGAATTTTAAAATATTGACAGGTTGGAGCAATGGGCAAGTTCTCTGGTAAAATTTAACAGGGTAAACATGTAAGGTCCTGCACTTGAGTTCAAAATACTAACTTCCCTTATATAGGATGGAGGAAGGAGAAGGTAGCTGGATTTTACTCACCCCAACACATGAGATGCAGTCCTGGGATGTGACCTGCAGGTGTGAAGCAGTGTGCAATTCTTTTGCTAGTCTGTACTGTCAGCTCATGCCTGGAAGGAATGTTATGTGTCCTCTCTGGCCCCAGGCTCCAACTAGGTTCAGTGGAGAGCAGCCAGCATGGGGCAAGAACATGGAACCGTGGAGACAGGATGGTGGGAGGCCAACAGGCAGCAGTCTGTGGCCAGACATCCTGGACCCAAGGTCGTCTCCATCCCTGTGAACTACACGGGCAAATTATCTGACTCCCTTAATGCTCATTTCCTAATCCACAAAGACATGATACTAATGCCTACCTCATACTTTGTTTTGGAGATTGAAGCAGTTAACATACATAAAGCAAATTTTGGCACACACTGCTTAGCACACTGAGTTTTCAGTATTTGCTAATATTAACTGAAGAAACTCTAAGCTTTGCCAGTTTCATGATAAATGACAGCTGTCTTCAAGCACTGTAGGAACCTTATATGGAAGAAGGGATAACTGCTCTGAACCACCTATGGGAAGAAGTCACGGGGAGGTTGCCCAGTTCCACATAAGGACAAGCTTTCTCCTGAGCGGACGGCCTGCAGGTGGAAGTTGTGAGTCTGAGTGTTCCAGCACCAGGCCCACAACCACTTGGCAGGGATGCTGCGGAGGGGAGTGCCTGAGGGGCGGTGGACCACACACCCTCTAGGATCCCATCTACCCTTAAGAATCTTGACTGCACAACTTGCTATCCTGGGTTCCCTGGACCTAGAGATAGAAAGACATCCACAGCCATTTTCACAGTGAAAAATATCCCAGTGACCACTGAAGACTCCCATCTCAAAAGTCACCTAAGTGTCCCCAAATTCAATTTTGTGCCCCACTTCATGAGGGGGAGAACAAAACCTGAGGACTGCTCTCAGGCTGCCTGGGGACCAGGTGGTGTGTGACTGGCCAGGGTGAGACCCTCCTTTATCATGAAGAGGAAAATGCTGAAAGACAAATACAGGCAAAGCCCAAGAGAAGGTGTTCGGTTTATCTTCCGCTCCCGCTCACATGCCAGGCACTCCGTCTGCAATGGGAGAGTCTCAGGAAGACCCATGGCATTCAGGTCAGCTGCTCTTCCGCCCCGCCTCTGCTGTGGTGTTAGCATTGCCCCCCAGCGAGTGAGAGAAGAAACACTAGCGCTGCCCCGTCCCCAACAACTCCGCTGGCAAAACCTGGGCAGTCTGCAGATGTAAAACAGATGGCAGCAGAAAAGCTCTGTGAATAAAACTTTAATAATGTACAGCAGAAATTGGACAGGCTCATTCTTATATTAAAACAAAAGATCTCCTATATTACAACTTATTTACACTTGCATACTGAAGAGGTAAAGTGTCTAAGTGGCTATTTTACAGTCCTTTCTAATAAAATGTACAAAAACAAACAGAAGTACCGAGAATGCCGTTCGAGGGCCTTAATGGCGACAGTAAGAACGGGCTTGAACTTGGTCTGTGAATCCAGAATCCAGAGGTGCAGGTAGCCCTATGGATCAGGTTTAGCCTCAGGGGGCCCAAAACCACAGCTTTAGATTTTAATTTCTCCCCAGTTCTCTAACTCCTGATTCTTGGTGTTAAGAGTGGCAGGGGAGGGGCTGGGAACTTTCCCAAAAAACTGCTGTCTTCCCCAGAGGTGGAGGAGCTGGACTGTGTGGTAAGGACAGAAGGGCCACCTGGGGAATGGGCTAGTAGCTTGGGGGTCCCCGCTTCCAGGAGTGTTGACGGATCCCGGAGGCTGGTTGTGACTGGGGCAGAGTGTGGGTTCCATCACCATCTACAACCTGCCAGGTTCTGCTACAGGGCAGACAGGTGGGAGGCCAGCAGGGGTGGGGAAAAAAGGTCCCCCTAATGATACAACTGGTATTCAAGGGAAATCAGTCAGTAGCCGTTAAATTGGCCCAAAGGATTAGGAGAAGATCTCCTTTAATGCAAGAAAAGAAGCATACATCAGGAAAATAAATAGGCAGGCCAGGGGCGTTGGGGAGAATGATGTAAGCAGGGAGAGGGCTCTCCCCTCTTTCTGTGAGCTTTGGGAGAGAATTGCTGGGCTGGAGAGAGGGATGCTCACAGGCTGCGAACATAATATACCCCCTCTGAGGGCAGGAAGGAGACTCAGAATGAATGCAGTGATTGGGGTCTCGTTGCCTACCACCAGTCTCTCAGGTGGTGGGGGCGCACACTTTCTCCTCAGTGGTCTTCTGTAAGAGCAATCATTCCAGGCTCAACTATGAAAACTACTGGTCTCAAAACAGGCACCCACTAACCTGAACCAGCTTCTTCATTGCTCCAAGAAGTAGGACCCAAGCCTGTCTTGTTCACAGATGTATTTCCAGGGCCTGGCACCCAACAAACATTTGTTAACTAAACGCCTGGAGGAGGGGCAACTAGCTGAACAATGCACAAAGCCCAGGGCCTTGGCACAAAAACCCCTCAGGGAACTGGAGGGTGGGGGGCATAATGCAAGAGCAACTAACTTCCAGGGCAAGGAGGTGCTCTAGCTGCTGGGCAGGAGCAGGCTTGGGGGTTGGGGGAAAAGGACAGACTTTCCAGTGTGATGGCGGTGCATTTGAAGGGAGCATCTTTTTTTTTTTTGTAGGGATTTCTTTAAAAACAAGGAGATTGAGAGGTAATCATCACAGAGATGGTTTTCCTTTTATAAAAACTTAATAATATTAAAAAAAGTTAAAATCCAGACCCTCCCAATAAAATAAAAAAAAATAGAAACAAAATCCCAAACCACTCCAGTTAAAAGTTATGGCTTCAAAGTTATTATGTACCTAAGATACTCTGACCAAACCAGCACCCACCACCGTGCTTCTAGATGTTGTCAAGTACTGTATTCTGGCTAAATAACAGGTTTGGCTTGGGCTGTGCCCTTCGAAGGGCCCCTGAAGTGGGTGCCAGCCTCACATCTTCCCTCCACCATGAGGAGATTATCCAGGAAAAGACCCATGCAGATGCCTCCCTCCCACCCCAGCTTCCCCCCACTCCTTGCCACCTTCCTTTTCCCTTCCCCACCCTAAACCCACCACCAGCAAAAATATACATTGCTGTTTCCAGAATCTGGGATATGAAAGACATATGTGACATTCCAATCTGAGTCCCAGGATCTGGGCTTCAAATTCCTTGGCCCTTTCTTGGTGCTGCTGAGGGACGATGCCCTTGGGCTGGCTCACTTCCCATGACTGCCGCTGACCACAGCACCCGAGACTTCGGCCAAGATTCTTCCCCTGCCCACCCTACCCCCTCCTCACATTTGGACCCCAAAGCCTTGCCTGCCATGGACAACTGGGCCAGCTTTGGCTCCACAGTCTGAAATGGAGGAGAGCTGTGTTGACACAGGGTAGGCAGAGCAGCCTGCTGGGAAGGGAGCACCACCGAGGCATGAGGGGGCTGGGGGTGGGGTGGGGAGAGACCTCCGGGAAGGGCACCTGGGAAACTAGACACTGCTCACTACAGAATAGAGGCACCAGCACGCAGAGACAGCATGACAACCACACCCCCGACCTGCACATGCACAGAAAGCTCAAGCAGGTATTGTGCACCTACACACACACACACACACACACACACACACAAACACACACACACACACACCATGTGTAAGGGTGTGGCACAGACCAGGCACAACAAGGGACGCACCTCGGCACATGCACACACAGGCTGGACAGACAGGTGGCAGACCCTGTCTCCACCAGCACTCCCCCTGGATGTCCGTGCAAGAGCGGAGGGAGCTGGTGGCCCAGAGCTGCCTGTGAGGGGGCTGCACTTCCAGTTCCTCGGGGCCACCTCGGTGTGCTGGGGTTGGTCCCTGGAGGAAAACCCTCAGTGCTGTTTAGCACTGGCAACACGTGGCTTCTCCTGGGCCCTCCCAGGCCGCCTCTGTCACCACTCCTGGCTATCCGCCAGATGCACCGGGTTTTGTAGGCCTTCCCGCTGCACCCAGTTCAAGTTGTGGCATTGAGTTCTCCACACCATTCGCTCTCAGAGTCTCCATGCCATTAGGAGGTAAATAGAAAAGGTGTCTGTGTCTCAAACCCAACATGGGAGTGAGCGAGTCTCCCGGGCTCTGACCCTCTTACGGGCCAGGGCTCCTGGCCACAGAGGGCTGGGCAGAAATGAGAGGTAGGCCTCCACTGGATACTCAGCACAGCAGCTCTGGGAATGGTTCTCGAGGCCCAGGGCTGCGTGTAGCGGGAGGGGAGCAAGGTTAGATCTTCACATCTTCCTGCACGCTGAGCTGTGAGAGGGTCTTCTTAATGCGCAGAGCGGTCAAGCGGGCCGCGCCGTTGGCATACCAACACTCTCGCATCATCTTCCCCATCACCCGTAAGGCCTGCAGAGACCCAGAGGCCATGAGTTGGACCCTGCCCCAGGGAAGCATGTGGGATCCCTAGGCTCTTCCTCATTTCTCAGTGCACTTCTGACCCCAGGGCAATGCTCTGCAAGCTTCCCTGTCCCCTTTGTTCTCCCTTCCTTAGGGGACAGGTTGTGCAGGCAAAGGACAAAGCTGCAGCCTGGACAGAGAGACCTGCTCTGCAAGCAGTCAGCGGTCTCCATCATGAGTCATCTGCAAAGACACCTGAACAGCCTAGGATCTGAAAATCATTTCTGACAAGTTTGAGTATCCATTTTCATGGTTGTTTACTATTGTTTTTTTAAGTAGCATATGAACCAGGCACAACAGGGACACATCTTGACATGGCTGTAATCCCACGGCTCATATACAGAGACTGGGGCTGGTGAAGTAGCAGGAAAGTAGCCCCAGAAAAGCCATCTTGTCAGAGACAGAACGCTACACTGCCCTGCCAGGATGATACGGGTGACAGCTACGGTCAGGCCACAAGGTGGATCTGGAAGGCCACCTGTGGACCGCAGCTGGCTGTTGAGGCCTCCCAAGTTCCCTGATTGCTGCCCTAGGCCAGTATTTTTCAGAATTCCTTTCAGTAGTGGGGCTGAGAGTCCCAACGCATAGGGACAGCACAGCATTAACTAGAGTGGGGTGGGGCAGCTACAGGCCAGCTCCTTCAGCCTTTTCCTTGTCCTCTGAGGTAAACCCTAATCCGGGTCCCAAGGTACCTTATGGAAAATGGTAGTAGGAAGGCATCACCTAAAATGTGACTGAGGTAATTTTGTTCTTCAGTGCAGAGATGCCCTCTAGTGGCTATACTCCTTAAAAGCAGAGCCATGAGTGAAAAGGAGGCCCAAGTACATTTAGGTAGGCAAACTGGGTTCCCCCTGAAGAGTCTAAGACCCCAGAATTCCATGTGCATTTAGAATCTGCATCACAAATCTGTCCTCATTTCAATTATTTCCACCACATGTTGTCTCTTTCCCCCTTCATCTGCTCTCTCTCCCAAATTCCAATTATGAAACCCTCCTTCCTTCTGAGTTTTAGAAAGGCCATCTCCCTCAAAGACGTCTTTCCCCTAAGTTCAGTCCATCATTCTATCCCTGCTCTGAGTCTCGTATACGGATGCCTTTTTTTAACTCTTCCAGGAGCTCAGTGCACCCCGGTGGCTCCAGGGCCATTTTCTAGTCAGACAGGTCTGAGTGTTCCCACTCAGTTTTTGTCTCTGTCTCTGTTGACTGCCTCTCTTAACCTTGTCCTCAGGACCAGGTCTTTCCTTCTACTAGGCTGTCGATTCCAAAGGGGACCTTACAGTGCCCAGGATGAAGGACTGTGGCCCCTCAGGGCAACTGACACACTCAGAGGTATCCCTGGAAGTTGGCCCAGTTGCTGGGAAGCTCTTTTTCCTTTTTTTAAATTAGGAAAGCCTTTTCTAAGGTAGAGAAATCAAGATGGAAAAGGTGCAGGAGGCAGGGGAGCTTTCTACCTCATAACTCTGCCACCAGTTGGGGATGTTGGGACGCAGCTTCTGGTCACACACGACCTTTCGCATTTCCTCAATGGAAGGGTCAGACGGCACTAAGTCATAATATGGCAGCTGATACTCTTCATGGACTCCTGGGAGAACAGAAAAAACATCCACCTGAATTATCAATAGCAGAAGGAGATTACTCAAAAGGCAACAGCAGCACCCACACTGTGACTGGTAAGGATCACTTCCCGCCAGGAGGAACTAGGGCTCCTCGGAAAGGCTGGCCGATTCTAGGTGTGGGACAAAATACCAAGATTAGCCAGGACATTTTTTTTTCAGACCAAAAAGGGAACTATTAAAGACTACTGAGGTCACATCCACTTGAAAAGCTCCCAAGGAGCCAGAGATGAGAACATTTAAGCAACAACAGGACAAATAACTTCAATGGAAGCAAATACTTTAAATCCACTAGTTCATAATGATACTAACAAACGAAAACTCTAAAAACCTTAGTCACCTCTGTAGGATGATAGGGAACAAACTCACTGTGGTGAAAAATGGTAAATAAATGGAAAGAATCAAGTATTTTTCCTGCCTTTTCTAGTCAAACTATGCATCTTGGTAATCAGATGGACAATTAGGGGAAGTTTCTCTTTAGAGAAGAAATCTAGCTAACATATGAAGATTGACATAATCAAAAAAATATTGGCATTTTTCAACCTCTAATAAGTTGGGATTTGGACCATGATCAACAATGGCTGTTATCATCACAAAAAGAGAGAACCGGCTCTATGTGCCTTGTAATAGAGGGAGTTTTGAAAAAAAAAATATATATATATATATACACACACACACACATACACATACGTATACGACTCTAGTCATTAGATGTCACTATGATAGTAAATTCACAGGAATAGAACATGTGAACCCCATCAAGAGGTAACTGGCAAAATCCAGACAGGAAAATTTTACCAAATGACCTGTATTCTCCAATTAAAAAAAAAAACTGCAAGACAAAAAAAGTATCGAGGGGGAAACCTGTAGATTATTATTTTTTAAAAATTTTTACTGAGGTATTATTGGTATACACTCTTATGAATGTTTCACATGAAAAAACAACGTGGTTACTACATTTACTCGTATTATCAAGTCCCCCCCACACCCCAGGGCAGCCACTGTCCATACCTGTAGATTATTACAAGAGACCTAAGAGGTGTTTCAATATCAATCTACTGCAACGGACAGACATTATTTGAATGTGGATCTGAATAAACTGTTAAAAGAAAAGAGACAACTGGGAATCTCAACACCAGTGTTAAATGATTCTTAATAAGAATTAGTGTTCATTTTTTAAAGTGTAATAAATAGTATTATATTTTTGAAGTCCTTATCATTTACAGCTACAAACTAGGAAATTTTCTGTAATAAAAAGTTAATTTAAAAAATCTAATGTAACTTTCTCAAGTCTTTTCCCAGAAAAAGTCTGCTGTCCTGAGCTGACAGGATAGGTTTATTAATAGAACCTGACTTGGTAATTATCTAAAGGATAGCTTTAAGATCTGACCTAAATCTGCCAGAGTTTGAATCCTAGTTTATTAGTTGTAGGACCTTAGACAAATTACCTGTCTGTGACTCACTTTCTTCATCTGCAAAATGGTGACAATAATAGTACCTACTTCAGCATATAGCCGATAGTACCACGTCATCTTTAGTGACAAATGGTAACTACACTTATGGGGAATGTGAGCATTTAGTAACGTATCTAACTGTCAAATCATCATGTTGTATATCCAAAACCAATGTATTACGGTATACCAACAATATTTCAATAAAAAAATTAAAAAAAATAGTACCCGCTTTGCAGATTTATAGTAAGCATTAAATAAGTATTATATACAGTAAGTAGTGAATGTTATATACTTAGCCCCAACTTCTGGATGGTATGAGAAAGAAAAAAATTAACTTATTCACAGTTTAAAATCTATGTAACCAGAATTTTCTTAATCTGTTGCATGTGTATATTATGATCAAAATTTTAAAACGTACAATTCCATGAGTAATACCTGGATGCCTCCTCCATAATTTGGATCTTGCCAAACATACCAAGGTTGGAAAAAGGTGGTAAATACAGAAAAGGGTTCGCCTGGAAGGCTCATCAGTTCTTTTTAGCTAATTTAATTTAATTTGGTTCACTTCCACTGACATGGAATCTTTTACATCAGAGACAAATGGCTGAAGGCAGGGTTCTAATAGTCCTGCACTTGATCACGGGGCAGGATACTTGGAAGCCAGCATAAAATACTGGCATACTAAACTGATGATAAAACATGTTTTCTGCTTAATCTGATACTACCTTTTACTTTGATTCTGACATGAATGAGCAGTTGGAAATACCAAAGATTTAAGAAAAATATTTCAGGAGAAAATACTCGTTTTGAAAAAATGCTATGTATTAGTAAGCTTTCTCCTCCAAATTGAAGAATTATCACTATTACTTTATCAACGAACCCCCATGTTCCCTAGGAATGTGGCTTGAGAGCTGGTGTTAGAATATACCACCTTCATGTAAAGGAGACCCCCACATCAGTCTTGTGCTATTCCTGCCAAGGGCTTCCCAACCTCGAAGGACCTCTAAGGACCTCTAAGGACAATGTGTTTAAAAAAAAAAAAAAAAAGCCCAATGAGCCTCCAGGAAGGGTATTACCACAATGTAAAACACTCTTTAACAAGCATAAACACACCCTTAGTACAGCTGCTTCCAAGGTTCCCTCATCTTTGATGAGGGCCCTAAGTGGGATAGGCTCTGGCACTAGGCATCCAACAAGCTGTAGAAAGAAAGGAGGCAATAAAACCCCAGCACCCTTAGGTCACCCAGAAAAGGCAAAAAAAAAAAAAAAAGTACCTCCAGAATTGCACCTCCGGGCAATCTCCCAATATACAAGCCCCAGGGCGTAGATATCAGCACATTTAAAGGAGTCAAAGTGCTTCATGTTTATGCTTTCATCAAGTACTTCAGGGGCCATGTAGCTGCAACAGCAAAGGAGGCATGATCATGCATAGAAGATGACGCTTCCTCCCTGTAAATCAAAGCCCTGACTAGGCCCCTCTGAATGTGGGAGAGTATCGTGGCAAGAAAGCCCCTTGGGGAGGAGTAAGTGATTAACTGCCAACTGCCTATGTTCTTTGAAGTATTCAAATCTAAATACTTCATCAGAGGTTTGGTGATACTGGACTACACTTGTTTGCACTTCTATTTTTTTAACCGTTAAGATTTCCTTTAAGCATGTTTTGATTTCTTGGCAGAGGCATCTGTACTGTGTGTCACAGGGCAATAATAATACATAACAACTGATTGCTACTGAGGTCTTGGGTTTTATAGAATGTAGCCATAGTGATGGGCTGAGCTTAAATTTCATTCTGAACTTCTATCTTACCTGATTGCAGGTACATGAAAATTAATTCTAGACAGTCATCAATGTCTCCCTCAGTTAATTAGTACTACTTGAGCCAACTGCCTCTCCCTGCCCCACGACACACAGTAAGGCAAACCAGGGAATCACCTCAGGCCTCACACTCTGGGGCCTGGGTAGCTGCAATCATTCAAGTCAAAAGGAAGGAAAAAAGCATCAGCACAAGTCAGTGAAATTCACTGAGATTCAGCAGATAAATAGACCTCCTCTTCTATCCTATTTAAAGACAGTTCCATTCCAACTCATGAAGTTAATCTGCAACCACAATTCCTGACTTCTTACTTCACTTCTGTATGAAGTGGGAAGCAGGCCCATAATCCTCAAGGGTGCCCCCTATTTCCACCCTAAATTACCTCTGCTCTCTAAAGCCCAAGTAAAACATGCATCCTGCCTCCTCAGGGGTCTCTGCACAAGCCGCCCCTTCACACTGGAACATTTTGCTTTTTCCTCCAGCCAAGCCTGGTGCCTATCCCCTTTCCAAATCTTGCTCCAGACTGTCTTTCTCCACTGACTTCCCCTGCTCAACACCACCCCCACCCATGTGTGTACAGTTCTATGGGGCTGAGCTCTCAGCACTTGTATCTGTTAGATGCAACCTGTGTAGCTTTCCAGTATGGGAAGTGGACGTTCAATTCAACTTTCAGCTGAGAGCAAGGACCACACTTCCTTTTTCTCTACCTTTCTCTAGTGCAGATGGGAAAGGGAAATGGGCAGCTCAGTGCAATGAAGGACAAGGGCAGAGGCTCAGGGCCTTCCTACCGTTTGGTCCCCACCCTCTGATTTGGGGCAATGTCAATGGTGTCAGTGACGGCATCATGACGGACAGCCAGGCCCAGGTCTGCAATGGCACACATGCCATTTTTCTTCACTAGGATGTTCTTTGACTTTAAGTCTCGATGAGCAATTCCAGGCTTCCCTGGCAGAGAAAAAGCAGGACTCTTTAAAAGCAGGCTCAGCAACCAGAGTGTGGGGGTTCAAGTCTGGCTTTGCCTCCCACCAACCCATAATCCTGGAAAAGTAACTTAACTTGTCTGTACCTCTGTCTTCTTATCCATAAAATAAGACTAATACCAGCACCTACTTCATGGGAATGTTGTGAGGATTAGATGAATTAATGTAGGTTAAGGGAAGAGCTTAGAAAGGCATGTGTGTTCACTAATATGACTATAACTACCACTACTACCTACCTTCCCTGAACTATATGCTCCAGTGTAGACTTGATGAGGAACTCAAAGAAAGGCCACTGCATTGGCTAGGCTCTCAGAATCAAATGGACAAAGGTAGGGGCTGGACTGCTGCTCTCACCCCAGAGGCTAGGAACAGGATCCAACTTCAATGGCCACTTTTCTGCCACGGCCAGCAAAGGATGTTGCCCTGGTCAGCCAGGCCTTGGGGAGCACACCTGCCACCCAAGAGGACCCAGGACCTCCCAGAGAGCTGACATCACAGTGATGAGCAGGGAAGCTCAAGGTCTTTTTCCTGGAGGAAACCTTCCTTGATTAGCAAAGTCCAGGGTCTAGTCTGTCCAGAAGTCTTTAAGCAAGCTGACCCCAACAACTACTGTGGGAAATTACTGAACTGATGCCTCCACCGCGATAATCTTCTCAGTTCCATTTTTTTTACGTGTACTGTGGGCTGCTGACATCACTACCCAATTAACATCAGCTCACCACCCAACAACTATGTCCAGCTACCAAGTGACAAATAACTGACATTTACTTTGTGGAGCCCCTACTGGAGTTCTAAAGACAGAAATGAAAACAAACCTGCTGGACGTACCTCTTATTTTCACTCAATAAAGCTCAAACCTCTCTCCTTTAGATGAGACTACAGCTGTTGAGGTCCCACTCCCACTTTCTCAGTAAAAGTTCTGGGAACTAAACAGGATGGTACAGGCTTTTAAGGTGTACCCAACCTCACTGCCCCTCATCTGGGCCCACTCACCTTGGGTACCCACGATCTCCATGTGCAGGTGTGCTAGCCCACTAGCAGCAGACAAGGCCAGCTTAATCATCCCCTCGATTGTCACTGTGTACCGGTTAAGATAATCAAACAGGGAGCCGTGCTCATGGTAGTCTGAGACAAGCCACAGCTGCGTCCAGGTGCCATTATCTGCAGGGAAGTAAAAGAGGGGTTCTGGACCAGGGGTTCTTAGACTCTGACTTCCGGCTTCTCAGCGCCACACTTCCGGAGGCCCCTGCCTATGCGATCTTCATCTACAGCTGTCCACTAGCCCTCAGCTCCAGGAAGGACAGGAACAGTGTTCTTTCTCAGACCTGCTTCCTTATTTCTCATAGGTGGCTGCAGGATTCTGAAGAGTGCTCCATTACTGCAGCAAATTTGAAATGTGAGGCATCCAGAAGAGGGAGCACGTGCTTTGGGAATGTAACAGGTATCATTTCTGTCTGCCACACTGCTCTTATCTTGACAAGGTCCACTCCTCTGGTCCTTGGTGACCACCCTGGCTGCATCCCTGTCACCCAGGAGGAAGGTGTCACAGGTCATCCTCTGTGCAAGACCCACTGAGCACTGCCCAACCCAAGTACCTGTCCTTCTGTAACATTTCGTTTTGGTCCACTGCTTTTCCCAGGCTGTGAGCTCTCTGGGAGAGTAGGAAAGGGCTCCTTTATGCACTATTGTATTCCAGGCCAAAAAATGCTCTTCAGTGCATGAAGAACACACTTCCTAGTATTCCAGAGAGGTCACCTTATCCTGAGAAGAGCACAGAAGGTAGATAGCATGCACTATTACACACGGGGGTGGGGGGCAGTGTGCAGTGGGAATGGGCAAGGAAAAACAGAAAAACCAAAAGCTGGTAATCTAAGTAGGTTACCCTGCTGTCAACAGGGAGACTGGGAACTGGGCTGAGAGCTCCCAATTCCAGGCTGCCGCTGGCTCCAGGACTACACTGCCTGTACCATGTTGTAAAGGCAAGCATGAAGGAGGCTGGCTTTTCTCCTCTGCTGGCCCTAATGTGAGTTTTGACAGCCAGATCCCTACTCACACAAGCTGCCAGAATCAATAAAAGGGGTGGCTCCTGGAAAAGCATCCATCTTGGCCTCTCTGATTATGAATATTATCACCCAACACCCCCCTTACACTCCAACCTGCCCCAATGTCTTGAGGACCCTGGGAATAACTTAAAAGGGAGGACATCTTTTAATCCTTTGTATTATATGTAAGATTAAAATTTTATCAAAAGGTGATGCTATTTTAAAAGGTAAAAGCTTACTCAGGAGTGAAAAATTCTTCTTCCCTGGTGTTTGAGTCTAAGACTCTTCAGCAAGGTCTGTGTCGGGGGAGGGGAGCCGAAGCTACTACAGACCCCACACAATGTGAGGAATCAGAAGTCTGCTGTTGTTTTAGGAAGGAAAATAAATACTTAGCATCTTCCACAGGCTTTGTGGAAACTAACTTTTAAAAACTGTTGTGCCGCACTAGTAGACTGTGTCTCCACTGCCAGGGGACTCTTCTAAAATGTAAACCCTATCACCTCATGGCCTCTGACTTCAGGTGCACTACTGCCCAGGTGGTTGCTATCCCCTCTTCCTGGGAGCTCTGAGGGCAGGGACTGTGTCTTGTTCTCATGTGTGATGGTACAAGCAGCTGGCAGAGATTCTGGCCCATAGTAGTCAATAAATGTTACTGAATTAGTGAATGAAACTTCCGTCACTACTCCCGATCTCAGAATGAAATACAATCCTCTCCACAAGGCCCCTCATAATCTGGTCTCCACCCTGCTATAACACAGCCACGTGAAGTTACCTGCAGGCCCCCAAACACACCTTGCCATTACACGTGTATCTGGAGTGCTCTTTCCACCTGTTTTTCTTCATGACCAACTCCTGCCACCTTCACCTCAAGCAAGCTCACTGACCTCCCCATCTCACCCTCAGTTTGTGCTCATTAGAACAGCCTGTTTGGCCGACTCTGTTTCTTTGCTAGTCAGTGAGGAACGTGTCTGGGTACACACAACAGACTCAAAAACTAAAGAAAAAACCCAGGCTAGAGGAAGGAGGAAATCAGGAACATCAGGTACCAGCAGGCCAAAAGCTGCACTTGAACGGCCATGAGGGGGCACTGTGGAGGCGGGCAGCTCATCCTCCTGCTAGGCCTGGTCCCCAACAAAAGCCTGGAGGATGCCCTCCATGTCACAGAACATGGGCTGCACCTTTTCCGGGGCTGTCCTTGACCAGCAGGAGTTCAGGCCATAATTCTTTATTCCAGTGGTTTTCGGGAGAAACTACCCGGGGCCCCTGCAGGGACTACCCTTGGGGTGTGGCTGGGGCTGGATGCCTCAGGCAAGGGAAGGTGAGCAGGTAGAGTGAGAGGTCTGTCTTGCTTATCTGCTTAATAATTGTTTGTTTACTTGCTTACTGGCCTGGGGTTTTGTACAAGCTTTTGGTAGAATGAAAGTTTATAGACTGTTACTTCATTCAGCTTCTCTTTCTATGGGTAATAATTACAAGGGCAAACAAGGCTGAACTACTACATTTCCCCAGTCACCCCTTCCAACTGTGACCACTGTTGGCTTTGGGACACCCTTTATCCAAACCCAGCGCTTTACCTTTATTGTCAGCAGCAATAAACCCAAGGATGTTTTCGTGCCGCAACATGACAGTCTGGTAGATCTCTGCTTCCCGGAACCAGGACCGTTCTTCACGGGAGGAGAAAATTTTCACAGCTACATCACCACCCCTCCAGCGGCCACGCCACACCTCCCCAAACCGGCCCTTGCCAATGATCTCCTGTAAAACGATGGTTCGGGCCACTGTGCGCTGGACAAAAAGGGGCAACCCTGTGGAGCAAAGAGTGGAAAGAAGGCTGACATTGTAAATTTGCTAAACTTCATAACTCCTACGCTATTACCCCAGGGGGAAGGCCCTCACCACAGTGACTCCATTCTACACTGGTTCACCCACACGGAGGGGTGCCTTGGCCCCAGGTCCAGGTAACCCACAGAGGGCTAAGCCAGGCAGCGTCTGCCAGGGAGCTAACAGAGGAAGGGAAATGTGCATGATTAGCTGTTCCTTATCTCAGCAATTTCTCCTCTCAGTTAGTATGGTGACAGATTTGAATAGAAATGTCCAACCATTTACCAACTCTGCAGCCAGCCTCCTGTGGGCCAGTCCACCCACACTTGCTTCATGCTGATGATAGGAAAGAGGTCAGAAAGATGAAAGTGGGAATTTGAGTGCTGGGAGCTGCCCACTTGCTGTTCTGCTCACTGGCCACTAGAGGGTGGCACTGGGTGGCCCATGAAAGCCAGACCTGTGGTCAGGATATGTAAGGTTCGCACCTCCCTCCAGAGGTCAAAATTGTGCTCAAGGGCAGACAGCTCCAGATGTAGAATGGGTGACTACCCAAGCTTATTCTAAGATTAATTATACTGTCTTTATAGGACTCATTTATTGCTTCATTTGACTCATTCAATGACTCTATCCATCCAATCACCCTTATCATCATGACTCTTAACTCTCACTCCCTTTCCCTGCCCAAGTGAGTTTGTTGTCTATCTCTTAAGTCCTGAGGAGTCGAACTACCATTTACTGTATGCTTACTGTGCATTAGGAACTATGCTAAGAGCTTTCACTTCCTCACAACCACCTGTAAGGTGGGTATTATTATCTCCATTTAACAGATGAGACAACTAAGGGTTAAGGGGGAAAGTTCAGTAACTTACTCAAATTCATACAAGCAGTAAGCAAAGCAGGGATTAAAATCTAGGACTGTCTAACTCCACAGCTTATGCTTTTAACTACAGCAGCAGAGAACCACTAAAATGTATCTCAAATTAGATCCCTGCTCTCCGTCTCCCTCTATGCCTGGTTCTGACCCTTTTAAAGACTTCCAACTGGTTTTTCCACTTCCTATCTCACCCTGCTCCTGCCCTGCATACCTGCACACAGCCCTGCCTCATCCCACCCTCCCTAAGAGGAGGTTGGTAAATGAATGCATCCGCCATAGCACTGCCAGAATTCCTTCTACAGGAAAATATGAACATTTAGTTTCCCACGTGAAGACTCTTAGTAGATGCCTCCTGCCTTCCCAGAGAAAGCATAGCATCCTTACCACATGGGCCACCTGCCATTCCCCAACCTCCATGCAAGTCTCCTCACTGATCCTCAAAAAACTTCCATGTCTTCTGATCTTTTGCTCAAGAGGTTTTCCTTGGCCTGGATGTTCCCTGCCTCTGACCTCTCTTAAAACTTCCAACTCAGTCTTCAAGACCCCTTTAAGTGCATCCTCCTCTGTGAGACCCTTCCTAACAACCCTTGTCTTTTCTATCTAATCCTGGGCCAGCCTTTTTCATCTCTGTTTACCCTGTGTCACCCAGATGGTATTCAGCGTATATTTGCTAAAGTGAGTTGAAAGTCACATAAGCAGCATGGACTTATTACTTATTAAAAGTCACAGTATTAAAACTCCAACACCTTGGAAGCTCTGCATGTGCTGAATTAAGAAAAGACTAAACTATCCAGAGAAATAGGTATTAATCATTTACTCCAGAGGACTAAATAACTGCCATGGACCTTCCCTAGCTTCAGCTAGTCCTGATCTTAAAAAAGATTCCAAAAACCCAAGGAGCTGTCCTCCTGTGGCAGCAAATCAAGTTGCAGAGTCAGTCAGGTAGTTCTAATCACTGCCCTATCTCTGTCAGCAAAGAACAAGCCATGCATTTTCTCTCTTCCTAAAAATATGCAGCTTTTAAATATATCCATCATTTTGGCACTCTCTACTGCAGAGCTTAATAAAGGCAAAACCACTGAAATTGAAGAGATGTCTCAGCTCAAAGTACTCCTTGTATTTAAGGAGGAATGTCTGGCTATGACTGATGGCATCATTTCCCTACAGAATAGTCTTGTCACATGGCAAGGAAACATATATAAACACACACAAAATTCCCACAAATACGACTCGGTTTTAGTTAGAATGGCAACAGTGACCTTTGTGGATTTTTAAAATAAGACAGAATACCACCATCACTAAAACAACTGTTTACCTTCATAAAAAGTCTCTTTGTAGTCAAAGACACATCTGAGAGCTAGCCAAGCTATATGCTAAGACCTGAATAACCCCAATTATTTTTATCTTGAAGTTTGGTCTCAGGTCAAGGGCCAGTGTTTGGTTCAATTTTCTCATTTTACCTACAGGCCATACAGGAAATGGTGCTGATGCCATGCTGGAAGCCCAAAATGCCTTTATTTTAACCCCCACCAAAAAACCCTTGGGCAACTGGTATGAGTAATTGATTCACCAAGCCCCAGCTCTCAGCTTTAGTCAACGTCCTTAAACTCCCCTTGTGGTTGCTCGGAGATCAATGATTAGCTGTCACCACCTCATCAGAGCCAGGCACACTCCTGTTTCTCAAAAGGGGCCCTTAAACTGAGCACTCCACTGGTCAGGTGGAACCAGGTGAATTTTAATAGATGTAGAGTTACCGGACTTGAAGAGAGGCAGGGTTTCTGGAATGGAGTTTTGCACTTGACCCTTGGAATACCAGGGAATGAAAGATTTTCTGTGAACCCATTATCTTATTACATGTCAGACTCCAAAAGAAGGGAAATTATGAAACCAAATGACTCAAGGCTGGTAGAAAGCAGTGCAAGGCCCAGCCTTCTTCACACATGCTCTGCCCTGCTGGGACCCGGTGACGAAGGCCGACAAACACAATGCCTGAAGGACTCAGTACCTGAGCCAGACCCTGATGTAGAGAGATCGTACACCAGATCCTGGAGCGTCTTGTCTTTGGAGAGACACATCTCACACGAGGGATCTTCCATGTCCAGTCTCTGGCGGTTGTGATAGACACGCTGATGATAGTTAATGACAAGGAAAACGATGATTATGAGAAACAGGAGGAACACTGGGCCAGCAATAATGCCTACCAGCTCCACAGGGCCCCACATGGAAGGGTGCTCAGGCTCCTTGAGGTGACCTGGGTCGAGTGAGAGAGGAGAGGGAAAGAACAGAGTAAAAACAAGGGAAAGCTGTGGCCTTCTCTAACCCCAGCACCTCCCTCCAAGTGGAAATGCCCTTTCCCTCATGTGCTCAAGGTGCCCTTGCTCTCTGGTTTTACTGGGCTTGGCTATCAGCCTGGATGCTCTCACACGCAAACCTCTCTAGTTGAGGCACCCTTTTCAACATCAAACCTATAGCCCACTTTGTGACTTCATGGCATTTCACGGGACTACCCTCCCTTGGCCCCCCAGACACCTGTCATGGTATACTTCCCCTGCTCCGGCCTCTCTCCTGCCTCTGATCTCCCTAGTAATACCTTCTAAATGGCAGACCTGCAAAGGGGTGGCATCTAATACTTCTCAGCATAATCACTGTCCTTCTTTTCCAATTGTAGCCCCTCTTCCCATTTGGCAACACCCCCCCTCACCACAGAAGCTGCCCGCACATGGCTCTGGGGCAGTCTCCTTGGGCTCAGGCCCACACCCTCCCACAGAGTCTCCTGCCTGGCTCTTCAAGTCCTCACCAGCTGCCCAAGGCTGCTCAGGCATGGTCCCAAATGTGGCTTTCACCTCTAACTTTGTTTTCTGTCTCCCTCACCTTCTACTCTACAAATCTGACTTGGGAGGAACCTGACCTTGGGGAACATCAAAAAGGTACCTTTACCTATCAGCAAACAAAGGGATTGGGGAAGAGTAGAGGAGGAAATGACAGGGGTGCCCTACCTCCAAGATGAGCCAATAGTCCAACAAGGGCGTCCACTCACCACTGGGCACCCTCAGGTCGATCTTGTTGCAGAAGTCAGTATAGCAGCAGTGGGTGTTGCGCAGATCCTCGGAGCTCAGGCAGTAGAAGGGCTTCCCGGCAGGGACCAGCTCCACTTTAGGGATGCATGTGCGCACGTGGTGCTCCATCCCATCCAGGTTGAAAATGGAAACCATGCAGGCCCCATCTGTTTCACATGTGTAGTTGGCCTGTAGGCAGCTGGTGCACGCACACCGCAGAGCTGCAGGGAATTCAGGAGCAGACCCTGACATCAGTGGGGAGAGCTTATCCTAGTCCTTTTCCAGACTTAGAGAATAATCCCTTAACATACCGGATGTTCCAAAATAAGGAGCTTTTATAGAGATAGGGTGGGAAAGAGGATATCATCAATGGAAGCACAACCATTTCACCTGTTCATTCAGCTCACAAACAAGGCTTCCAGGCGCCCCCCCAGACCGTCTTCCTCTAAATGCTCTATTTTGTGCCTGTGAGAAACAGAAAGGCTACCTTTTCAACTATGCCTTAGCCTTACTACAAATTATTCTGTGGCTGGGAAAGAGGTCTTCTTTTAAATTAGATGCCTGATGACAAGAGGAAAACACCTTCCCTTTGGACATACTCCACCCACAACCACCCAGCGCTCCTTGAAGCCATCATCAACCCCATCCCCCTTCTCTCACATCAGACACGCCCGCAGTTTCCCAAATGTAGTCTGTGTGCTCTCACACGCTCTTCTGCAGCACTGCTTTTATTCCTAGCTACTTCCTACAAATCCTTTAAATTCAGCTTAAGCATCAGTTCCTTTGAAAGGCTTCTCCCGACTAGTCCAACAACATCCTCCTCTTCCCTTTAATCCATGGCAGGTGCTCCTCTCATATGGGGTAGAAGAATATCCTCCAGAGAGAATAATATTAGTGCTTACCTCATAAGTTATTGTGAGAATTAAAGGAGCTAAATGCATAAAAAGTGCTCAATAAATGTAACCCACTTTGAAAGGCTCCTGGATAGTACTTTTAAAATATTATATATATATATATGTCAAATAGGTAGTGTATGCCATCATCTCTGGGACTAATGATTTTGCTGGGTGTGTATTACACGTAAGTGTGCACTGTTGACAGAAAATTACTGTAAATGAATTTGGCGCCTCTGAAAGCCAGTTCAGCAGCCCTGGAATCTGAAATCCTTTATTTATCCATCCTACAAGAATAGCACAGACAGCAGCAGTTGGTTCCCCCCTGCACTGTCTCCCAGGGGCCTAACTAGCCCTGGCCTCTTGGGACAGGCAGGAGTGTGGCTCTGGCCACTGGATACTTGGGTTGGGACTCACTGCTGAATGAAGCACTCACCCATCACAGGATGCAGATAGTAGAGCCCACCCAATTCTTAAGACTGGATGCTAAGTGAATACTATCTGGATACCAGGTGGGAATATATTCAAAGTAAGGCCCCAGAGAAGAGACATTTATGACCAGTCCCATGAAAACGAGCCTGTTGCAACTCCTTTCGGCTGTAAACAGTCTATCTTTGTCTCTTCCTCCAATACACTGGAAGGCACCTCTTGGCTTTTCAAATCCAAAGACAGATTCTAAATACCTCAGTGTCCAACCCCTCCTTCCCCAGGCTTTCTATAAATGACACACTCCCTTCACATTTCCACCCAAGGAAACAAAGAGAGCACGGACAGGTAAACGGACAGTGTGGGTCTTCACTGAATGGCCTGTGGTATTTTTTCACAGCATCTGATCAGGTCTCTTTCTTCTGGGAGAAATTCCAGAACACACAGCTATCTGCTGAAGGGCTATGGTAGTGTCATACTTTAAGGGCAGCCAATTTAAAGCAGGTACCATTTAGCCTAGGGTCCAAATTATAAAAATAATTGAAAAAGTAAATTCCTCCTAAATTTCAATTCCAGCTCTTTTCAGACACAGGAAAGACTCAGGATCTCCTCACTTTTCCCTCCCAAATACCTCTATTTGTTCCCCCTTTTATTCTTCTTGCTAACTTAAATTTACTTCTGCAATTCTGAGAATACTTGATCCAAGCCTCTTTTACTCACACTGGAGTCCTGACTGCTAATCCCAGAAAGCTAATACCCACTCCCCTTTGTGTCACTGGGGACATTCAGGCACAGAAGGAGTTCCCCATGGAGTGCACACCTCTCAGTACATGTGCCGTGATGTCCAGCAAAGAGAGCAGCATCAGCTCTATTTTGGGAAGCAAGAGGGGAAAACGAACAAGTCCAAGAGGGCTATTCTGAGCACAGTGGGACACACAGGCCAGACCTGCAGCCGCCTTTTGGAAAAAAGCTCGCTTCAGAGCCTGTCAATTAACAGGCAGGAGAGCCAGCAGTCTCTGACCCCAGATACTTATTCTCCTTTCGCTGGCTCACGTCCTCTCACAGTGATTCATTCTGGAGAATGAACACACCCACACGTGGCTCATTATTTTTGGGAAGTACTTAAACAATCTTGGTGTAAGACAGGAAAGAACAAAAGTGGTGAAATCTATGTTAGACGGGACGAAGAGCGGAACTGGGAGCAGGGCCATGTGGGTTTGTGATAAGGAATTGGGCAAGTCCCTGAATCTATCTGGGCCTCAGCCGCCCAGCCAGAAAATACCATTTATCTTAAAGAGATGGTATGAAGATTGGCCAAACATCCGCTAAGTGCTGTGGGTTCTCTGAAAAAGGCTCTCTCTGCACATATCTGTGTGTATCTCTACATTTTACAGAGTGAGTGAGAAGTCTGAAAAAGATATATTTTTAAGATAAGTCCACACCCCTGAAAAGGTTTCAATTACTATGGCTACAGCTACAGCAGGGTGTCATGGCAGGAACAGGTCAGAAAGCCCTAAGGCTCAAATACCAGCTCTAATATTAATCACATGACCTTAAGCAATTTAGTAACCTTCCTGTAACCCAGTTTCCTAATCTGTAAAGTGGGATGTTAATGATAACTTCACCTAACTATGTAAATGTTACATGAAATAACACATGTAAAAAGTGCTTAGAAAATAGGTGCTTAGTAAATTTTAATCTTTCCTCTCAATGTAAAAGTCAAACACACACACACACACACACACAAAAAAAATGTGTCTTTTTAACCACTAATTAGGAAGTGGCAAATTACACCAAGACCACAGCAAGAAACTTTTGCTGGAGTCTCAGCTCTGCCAGTAACTAGTCGTGTGGCTTTGGGCAAGTAATTTAACCTTCCTGAACCTCATTTTTTCTCACAATTAACCAAAAAGAAAGGATTAAACCAGATGACCTCTAAAATCCTCCAGATGAAATTTGAATTCAGTTTGTTCTTAAATTCACACTGGATAACTGATCCACCACTGAGAGGTTCTGCTCTAAATTTTATATGCCTTTTCCTGAACTTTAAAGACAGACATTATGGTGAATCTTCTGTTAATAGTTATTTTTCATTGATAATTACAAAAACATCTGAATTCACTGTATGTAAATTTACTAGTATACTAAATCACAAACCCAATTTTGATTTCTCTGGAATGCTAAATCTCAACTAATAACAGCACTTTATAATCTGTTCCCTATTGACTCATCAGGTTAAATCAGTCTACACATGTATATGAACAATACATACCTAAAGCTCTCCATATTCCAGGATTAAAGAATTACATAATAGAAATAACACAATTTGGAAAACCAGTCATAGAGGAGGAACCAAATCACTCTACACACAAGCAAGTTAAAAAGTGGTCAGAACAAAACTCCCACTAGCACAGTATTTTGTTATTAATAAGTTAGTCAAACCTGAACTGCAGAAAAAAACCACTTGAATGTGGTTCCAAAGTATGATTAGAAGGTGGTCTGTGGTACAATGTAAATGCAAATTTGATTCATGAGAGGCTGTGCTTTGAAGAAGGCTTACAAGTCCCAACTTGGGTAGACTGTATGGCTGCATGTCACGGAGCCACTAACACAGCCAGGTCTCAGCAAAGATGACCTCACCACAGTCAGGCCAGCTGGGGTCGGGGCCCTCTCTCACCTACTGGCATGTACTGGGAGGATACTCAGCAAGGCGGCTCACTGGGAATTCCCAAGAACCACCATACAAGGCTAGACGCATGGCCACTTAACCCAATATTCTGCCTCAGACCACATCACCAGGGGGAAGGGTAAAGGAGGATGCAGGGTGGTAGCACCAGCCTCTAAAGGTAAGAGGTATGCCTCCAAGCGTCCACACTTGTCCTGGTAGATAATGATCCACCAAAGTTCTAAAATGTTTTAAAGCAACAGTATTTCTGATTTTGAAATTATATCAATTGTTTCTTGCTAATAAGTTCCATCAATTTAGTACTAGTACAGAGCACTGTCCTGCTGAGGAACACCAAACTTGCCTCTTCCAAACTGCACTGAACAACCTTAAAATTCTATAGTATCCAAGATTTAATGTCCAAATCAGCCCATGTCGCCCTTACTCTTCATTATTTCACAACTTGATCATAAACTTCCTCTGAGCCCTTATCACAGCACCCCTCAGACAGCACAAACTGATAAGAATAGCCTTATGACTATTTTAATTAGTCTTCCCTGGACCTTATTCAAGCCCCCTACAGCTTCCTTAGGACAGACAAAGATTACAATTCTAAACAACTCTGGGATTGTGAATAACCAAAATGATCTTGGAGAAAAAAGAAAAACAAAGGTAGAAGACTCAAACTTCCTGATTTTGAAACTTACCATAAAACTACAGTTATCAAAACAGTGTGGTACCAGCATAAGTATAGACAGAAACCCACAGAAGAAGCGAAAGTCTAGAAACAAAGCTATACATCTACGATAACTGATTTTTCAAATGAGTATCTAGAACATTTGGGGGAAAGGCTAGTCTTCAATAAACGGTGCTAGACAACTGGACGTGCCTTTGCAATAGAATGAAGTTGGGCCTCCTACTTCATACCATATACAAAAAATTAACTCAAAATGGATCAAGGCCCAAAATGTAAGAGCTAAAACATATATTCTTAAACTTTCAAAAAAGAAAACGGGTAAACCTTCATGACCTTAGATAAGCTAGCCTTTTGTGCACTAAAGGACAACATCCAGAAAATGAAGAGACAACCAAAGAATGGGAGAAAACTTTTGCAAATCACATTTCTACTAATAGTCTAGTATCCAGAATATATTAAAAAAAACTCTTATAGCACAAGAATCAATTAAAAAATGGGCAAAGAATTTGAATAGACATTTCTCCAAAGGAGATACACAAA